CTCATATCACGTTGAAGACATTAAACTATGTTAAAATGTAATAAACACTGAAAAACACTCAGTTTGTGACATAATTTAAATTTGCAAACAAACGAAAATACTTTCTTAGTTAATTACCAGAAATTCTTCTTTGGGATCTAATGCCAAGCTTAAAACTGGAGCTTCATGGCCTCGACAAACTTTATGACTGCTACTTTCAATATCAACTATTTTAATAGTAAAATCACTGAAAAGACAAAAGATATATCATCATTATGTGTAATTGTTTTTTTACAAAACAGGACATTATATTTTCAGACTAATCACTCAATTGCCATTACTCTTATATATTCTGTTTATATCCGACACAAAAACTTGTTTAAAATAAATCTGGGACATCTTGCAGTGGAAGATTTAAAATGTACGACTGGATAATCTTTCCATCCCTAAATAAATAATGATATTCTGTGTTAAAAAAAATCAAAAAATCTGCAGCCAAAAGAGAGAGAGAGAGAGAGACTAAGTCATTTCAAGACTAACATATCGTTCATAATTATGTACGTGGGGGTTTTTAGTTTGAGGAAACCGGAGGAGAGAGATGGGATTTAACATCCACTTGACACAAACTAGATCTTTACGGGACTGACATATGGTTCAATTTCATTTCAATAATTTGCTTGCTGTGGGAGAAAACCGGAGGAATCGGAGAAAACCCACGAATCTGGACATGCAATCCTACTCCTTGTCACGTACAACCTGGGAATCGAAACCATGCCAGTTGACTCAATGAGCCTTTAAAAGTATATCAATCGCGATCATGCCAATTGATACAGATAGTATTATTTTGCTAGTCCAGGCATAGCATAAAGAGTGCCTAATTATTGTACATAGATTAACATTTGTTTAAAGCTTCAGCCCATTTTATTTTTGGGATGTTGCAGATTTACAATATACAACCCCCCCCCCCCCCCCCAAAAGAGTCTATTAATTTTTTTTTCATATAATTATGATGTCATTGTTACTATTATTAGTAACAGTCTACAAATATCAACAAAACACCTGTATTAAACAAACCTTGATCCAGCTACCATTGTTGTTCCTGATTCATTGAGAAGCATGTGATGTACAGGGGAGGTAAATCTTGTAACAATACCATCTGGAAGACCATCAGGAAAAGTGTGAGCTTGAATGGAATTGCTGTCAGAAGCTGTGAAGAAACGTCCATTCTGAAATATTATTAATAACAGTTTAAGATATAAATCAGAAGTTATTATGGTGAAATAATTCATTGAATCAGACACATATTGAGTTGAACAAGTGTATATAGCAAGTTACAAGACACATAGCTAGCTAACTGAATTAAACAGGTATCATCATATATTTATTCTATAACTACATGCAAATACAAGCAAATATCATTGAATACAGACATTGAATAACCTATGGTTGTATTCAATGGCTTGTACATGTACTACTTTTGTCCAGAATGTCACTTTCAGAATTATGTTAAACTAATGACGTCACCACTAAGCAACCACAATTTTTGGTGATGATTTTTTTTGTTGATAATCTGGATTATCAGTTCAATAGTGTATTTTGAGATTTGCATGTAGTTATAGAATAAAAACAGACCTCAATGACCATTGAATACCACTTGGGTTATTAAATGGTTCACTCGAGTGTATCCCTGTCGCATTCCACTTGCTATCGTATTGAGATACACTCTCTTGCACCATTGAACAATGAGAGCGGTATTCAATGGTCATTGAGTTTTATCTATATATATGCAGGAAGTTACAAGACACAAACACTGATGTATATGTAGCAAGTTATTTAGGGGAGTCCAATAAAAATAGTTTTGTGAGAGAGAGAGAGAGGAATGGGGTTTAACGTCCACTCGACACAAACTAAATCATTTTGGGACTAACATATGGTTCAATTTTATTTCCATAATTCGCTTGCGCATAGGGTCTTTAGCAGTGGGAGGAAACCGGGGGACCTGGAGAAAACCCACGAGGTTAGACAGGCGACCCTAATCCTTGTCACTTACAACCAGGGAATCAAAACCACGCCAGTTGACTCAATGACAGACTTTATGATACAGTGCGTATGTGCCAACCATTCAGCCATCCAACCCCCCCAATAGTTTTGTGAGTTGAGACAGTAATAAGTTATTTGGTAATGTAAAATAAGATAAGTATTGGAGGGGTGAGATAGGTACAGGTACACATATAAGGTCATTTGAGTTAGACAAGTACTAATTTGTATAGGAGAGACAGGTAAACATTGATTTGAGCGGAGAAATGTCTAATCAGCGAAAGGTACAACTACTAAAATATGATCAGGAAACAAAACCAAGACAGATGCCTATTTCAAAGTCGCTCCCTATAAATCTGTTCCTTGCTGAATAAATAGCTTGTTCCTTGCTGAATAAGCAGCTTATTCTGTCCTGAATAAACAGATTATTCCGTCCTGAATAAACAGCCTGTTCCATCCTGAATAAACAGCCTGTTCCGTCCTGAATAAACAGTCTGTTTCGTCCTGAATAAACAGCCTGTTCCGTCATGAATAAACAGCCTGTTCCGTCATGAATAAACAGCTTTTTGAGTAAAAACTGAGTAAAGTATCTATGTATTTAATTGAGACAATTAGTACATGTAATTGAGTTCTACTGGTAGTGATAAAAAGACAAGTTTCCGTAAAGTAAATTGCTTCAAAAAATACATGTACAACTTCCACTGGTAAAATTATTTTATAAAGTTTTGACAAGACTTAGTTTGAATTTACCTTAAATGTAATAGAATAAACTTTATCACCAACACGATGAGAGATTGTATCATCATCATCAATACCTTGCCATATTCGAACATCACCATCAGTTCCACAGGTTAACATATATCTAGAGAAGAAAAAGCATCAATGCATTAAAGAGGAGAGAGAGAGAAATGGGGTTTAACATCCACTAGAAACAGACTAGGTCATTTTGGGACTAACCTATGGTTTAATTTTAATTCAATTGCACGTAGGGGTCTTTAGGCAACCATTAAAGAATAACTACACATAACTTGCTGAATGCTGATATTCGTAAAAAAAAATAAATATGGAAGAAAATGAGACTTTGCAGGGTTATTAATCCTATAAATTGACCAAGTCGTGGAACCTCAAGTCCCAAGTTGCCGCACCTTGAATCCGAGTCTAGTCCCAAGTCGCTGACTTTAGTACTGAGTCAACTCCCAAGTCTTCATAAAACCCTGAGTCCAATTCAAGTTGCCAGTTCATCAAATGAGTCAGCAATTCATAGTGAATAAAAAGTAAATGTGAGTTATGCCCCCTTGCGGTGACGCAAGTCCCAAGCTCTTTCAAGTCGCGAGTCGTCACAATTGTTGAGCCCGAGTCGAGTTGCAACAAATATTTCAAGATGGGTTATAGTTATTGATGGGACTTTAGCTTGAGTCACAAGCTTCGATTTCCCACTTCTGTAATCAAGCCTGGAAATAAGGCACCTGTCACTGACAATGTCAGGCATAGATTCAGGCTTTGTCAGGCACAAAACCTCTGGTGCCTGTCATTTTAGGCACTGATTTGTTTTTTTTTAATGATATTATTTATATATGTCCGGCACTAAGTTGAAAATGTCAGGTTCCATTTCATTAGTGCCTGACATTTTGTCAGGTACATCTAAAACCGTTATTTCCAGGCCTGTCTGTAATTCACTATTGCCAGTTGTGGGAGACAGAAATGTGGTTTAACGTCCACTCGACACAAACTAGATCATTTCGGGACTAGCGTATGATTCAATTTTATTTATATAGGGGTCTTTAGCTGTGGCAGGACCCCGAGAAAACCCATGAGGTTGGACAGAAGACCCTACTCCTTGTCACGTACAAGCGGGGATTCGAAACCACACCGTTTGACTCGATGACAGACCTGTCTCTCTTATTAGTTGTTTTCTTTTGTCAAATGGTAAACAAGTTTGATTGATCGGTCACAATGTCACAGGATTGAAATGTCATATATTCATATATGAAAGTTCATCCTGATTTTCCGACGTGGTTCCCCTTGTCAGTGGTGCAGAACGGAGGGCCTGACAAGAACAGCTGTCTAAGTCCTTTGGATGATACGAAAAACCAAGGTCCTGTGTATACATTGGAATGCAAGTAAAAGATCCCTTGGCAGTTCGAATTCGATATAAGAGTAGGGGATAGTGCCGCTGCCCGGGCAAAATTTCCCTCATAGCACACTGTATGGCGTATGCCCATCTTCATTAGCCCAGTATAGGAGCAGAACAGTAGGACGTTAAACCCCATTTCATTTCATTAAATCATTTCATTTATTCATTATTAGGCTATATGTTTTTGATTCGGCATGGGGTAACTAGCTAAGAACATTGTAATTTTTGCACTTGAAATGTTTCACAAAAGAGGACCAAAAAGAAAAAAATGCAGAAATAAGCAAATTATGCCATAAATCATATCTTTTAAAGTTTTATGGATTCTCTATCATCTATGTCTATATTATATAGTATTTTTAATACATGATTATGATTACAATTACATGGCTTCTCGGTTCAGAATAATAATAAACTATTATCAACTTTTCATAAATAGATTGCTTAATACCTCCCACTTTCTTCAAAACATAAATCAGTATGTCCTTCATTGTGAGCATATCGTAAAGGTTTCATCCTAATTCCTATGGCTATAATCTATTTATTAATATTAGATCTTACTGATCAACTGTTTTGTTTACACTTTAATATTGATGGCATTTCCCGCAATATTTATTTTTGGCGGGCCAGTCGCAGAAAATAAAACTCTAGACTCTTATTGGATGAAAAATAATCACTTTCTAAAGTTAAAAACCTAGATAATATATTACATTCAAACATTCATTTAATGTAAGTATTTACAGCTTTGTGCGATATCTCACTATAAAACTGATTATTTTATTAAAGGCTGTCAATTTTGAAGCAGAAAATGGTTTATTTTTCATGTGACGTCACATATCACTCCCACGCAGGCAATATTATATCCGGCCAGTCGAAAAACCCCGTGATAGCAAAAATTTCCTAGAAATCCACTAATTAATTATGGGCTAACGGTTTCATGTGTTAATTATTGAAGTGCTGCTGAAACAATTATGGCTTCAGGTAATTACATGACATAATTATTTAGTTTGTAGCCTAGCCGCCTACCACGGCGACGGTTTATTTTTTCAGTGTTGTTCTGTAGCAAATAAATACTAAATAGACGTTTCCCACAGAGAGTATTCGCGAGCTGTCATTCATTCATTCATGAATAATCTGAATAGACACCGACAGGTAGGCATTGTGATTCATTCATTCCCCACCTTCATGTCTGATCGACCGTGGGAAAATGTATAGATCACATAGAAAGGTTGATTAGCTTACCTGTTGATCTTTCTCTTCTATTTTTGATCATCGTCTGCTAATCATAGCAGAGCAGATTATGCATGCAGTTGACATAAGAGAAGTAAGATGGGTAATTTTATGTTTACATGTTTTTTGCCAATAATTTTATTGGAAACTTTAGTAGAAAACCCAAATTCATAGAGGTGACTTTCGGTTTCAAAAAAGGGTAAATTCTGCTTTGAACTAAAGTGATTCCAGACTGTGGTTAGTAAATCGACTTACAGTTACAGTGCTTACACTTTTTCTGTCTTGAGTCTTTCGGGAATTCAGGTCAGCAGACGGTTGTTGCAGTTATGCCCAAATTGAAATGTTTTACATGTTTGTGTTTTTAAGTTTGGATATTATGGAAAATGTTCAGTTAGAGGTTTAATAAAATTATATATATTTTTTACGTAAGGATATGGGGAAGGGGGTGGGGTGTGTGTGTGTGTAATTGAGAGCGGACTTGGTATACAAACACAGATGACTATAGAGGTACATATATGTTGTGAGCTAGCTGTGCTTTTCCTACTCTTGTTTTAATTCACTTATTATTGTAGGGAAGTGTGAATGGTGTTTTCAACTGTCGGGTATTTCATCATGATTAAAAATAAACATTGTTAACAGTTTCTAAGTGTTTCACTAGGCCAGTAATAGCAGTTACACATGGTTAACTTAATTTAATGTGAAGGATGATATCATGTTATTGTTACATGTAATATAAATAATAGCATGTTTCTAATATCTAAGCCATAAAGGTTTACGCTTTATTGAATAATTAAAAGAATGCATATATTTATTTGATCAGTTCATGTACATGCATGTACCAGTAATTTACACTCAATCACAGTCTAAACTTTAATGGAATGGACCCCAAAAAAGATTTTTTAAGCACATGCATCAGTCTGACTGGCATTCAGTTGGTTTAAATATTTTTGTATATTTTTGATGAACTTTTGTTAATTATTCCATTTTGATTTATTTTGATTCATAGTGTGATACATTTGATAATAAATTAAAAGTGTCAGTTTGAGTGAAAAAAAAATGAAAGTTTCAGTTTGAGTGAAAAAAAAAAATGAAAGTTTCAGTTTGAAAAAAAAAAAAAAAATGACAGTGTCCATTCAAATGAAAAATGTTTAAGTGACATGTTAAGTGAAAAATGAAATTATAGTGTCAGTTTTAGTGAAAAATTAAAGCGTCAAATTGCGTAAATATGAAATACATGTACTTCGTTCTAGTAGATGGATATCTTTCTTTTTCCAAATTTTCCATTTGCAGTTAACATTTTTATGCTAAAATAAAATCAAAAGAAGTAATAAGTGACTTCTGCTTATTCTGCCTAGCTGAAAATGTAAAGTCTTCATGTTAAGGATACATTAGTTAAAAGCTAAAATCTTCCAATTGCAAGTCTTTCTTTAGGCTTCAGATTTTATAGAAATTATTAATTAGAAGACATTTATTTACATGACAAGCTCATAGTCAACTCTGTAGATCCTCGGATATCTTGGGTACTGCTCGAATTTAAATAGCCATCCATTTAATAATTAAATCAATAAATGACTGACCAAGCTAACGTTTACCGTAAGTCACTGACATCACTATCGGAGACTGGCGATGAAAGGCCTACCAATCGAGGGTACCGTAGCCATGGCCCATGGGGAATGTTACTTGATAATCAAGAATATGTGGGTAGAGTTATCTTCTGCCAATCAAACGATCGGCAATTCAGTGACAACTCTGTTCAGAATAAAGTAATTTAACTGGAATTTTCAATATTTTCTTTTCTTATCATCTATTTTTGAATTATTATAGCAAGAATGGCCAACTCTTTGTTAAACTCGTAACTAACACTGTAACCTGAGTATTCATTTAATCTTGTGTATCTAGCACTAATTTCTTTCACATTCGTTTAATATCCAATCTTTGTTTAAAAATTCGTAAAAACTGTTTAAAATCACCATAAATCTTTTAATTTGTACTTCTGTCCAGTTTAAAGCTGACCATTCAATTTTGATAATGAGTGTTCAATTGTTTAATTTCTCAGTCACTATTAAAAAATAAACAACCCAACTGATTAATGATGTTTTATGATTAATTTTGGAACAGTGGTCAGGAAATTAAATACTTGTAAATTAGACACTCATTATCAAAATTAATCAGTCAGCTTTAAACTGGACACAAGTACAAATTAGATTTTTTTTTGTGATTTTAAACGATTTTGACAAATTTTTAATCAAAGATTTGATATTAAACGAATGTGAAAGAAATTAGTGCTAGATACACAAGATTAATTTGATTTAGAAAGAAGTGACCTTGTTCTTTTAAGAGAACTCACAAAATTCTTACATGTATATTTAAACTTCCAGTACTCATTAAATCGCAATGCATTATTTGCATTTTCAATAAAATATCAAATTTTTCTCCGCTTATGTACATAGATTCATAAATTAACATTTAATTAAGAAAACAATATCAAAATACCAATACTATATAATCTCTCGACTTGGATTTAAACTAGGCCCATCAGGTTTTTCTGCTACCAATAAAAGATGGCAGCGTTCTGTTATAATGAGCATCATACATGTAGATCAGTGAAATTTCAATTTATCACACCTTTGTTTAATACTGATTGAATGAAACCATTTTTGGACGGATATTCCTAATGTAATTTGATACTGATTCCTAAACCGCTAAAATGATGCATCAGGAATTTACATAAAATAATTGGAGCTTTTAGTAGTTGTATCAGTTTTAATTACATATATTAGCAGTAAATGAGTGGAATTAGCACTTCACTGATTGATGAAAAAATAGTTTTCTGATTGACATGATTTGACTTCACAGTTACACAGTGGATAACTAATTTAGATTGTTTGTAAAATTTGAGACAGTTTATGTGTTGTGCATATATTTTGGTCATTTTCAGGAAATTCAATAAACACTCTCTAAGAATACCCTACTTCTTGGATATTCGTTAATTATCGGTTATTTTTAAAGTTGTTGATCATCATTTGTATTTTTCACACAATTATTTTATTTATTTTACAGTTTAATCCATGCTAAAATGTAATCAGATTGACTATTTCACTTTTAATTAAGAAAATAATCCAAAATGATATTCGGTCAAGATAAAAATAGACACATAAAAACATTTTATCCAACACTTACAGGTTACAGGTAGCACTGGCTTGTTTAATTATATCGTCTGAAGAGGATGCTATAGACCAGGTGTGTCAGATCCAGCCTGCCAAGGGTTTAAATGTGGCCGTGGAACAAATTTCAACAAAACTGACGTGTCAAAAATTCTTAGAAATTAGAGCTAGAAATCATTTGTTACTGTTTTCTGGTTTCAGTAATATTTTATCTTGGCAATTTGGAAACAAGTCTAAAAGATTATAATATGTAACGATTTTAGTCAAATAAATCAATAAAAAATTTTCTTTATCTTGATATTTTTGTATAACTCTGGCCCACTTGATGTAAAATTTTACTAATTTTAGTCCATATGGCCCCTGAATTGAAGAGAGTTTGACAGCCCTGCTATAGACGTTGCAAAATTATCAGTTCTTCATATCCTTTTAAATACTGAATGGAATTAAACAATTTTCGGGCAGATATTACTTTTAGAGATCTAATATCCTGTTATTCAAAATTAGTCTTCTTATTCATTTGGAGGAATGAAGTCTCGTTTATATGGTAAAATGACTTTAAACTTATTACTTAATGCAAAAAACACCCCAAGGGGGCAGCAAAAACTTTTTAACAGAAGGAAAACAATAACAATTGATGTGACGTAAATAACCAATTTCATTTATGTTTATGACTTTTCTTGACACAAAAATTGACTTATGGTGAAGCATTACATGTATGTACATTCTTTTAACACAGCTAATTTCTCTCTGTTAGTATTAAATGCTACGGCACCATGGAATCATTTCATTTAATAATTTCCTGTTACTGCGCTTTTACCATTTGTGTCATCAATTAAGAACTGTTTCTTGAAAGATTTTTTCGAGCCGTACCCAGGAAGTGGAACAGATGTGAGTAATTAGGAATTTTTCCAACAGACATCACATCTGCAATATCTGGTTAAATGACTCAAGACGATATGTTTAGCTTTTTAGCATAGAAACAGGTTAAGTTAATAGGGTTGGTATGGGCACAGTGTGGTAGGATGCTTGTCAGTAATACTATATAAAATCATTCGGTATAGACGTCTGTTCATAGTTTAATGGTAAGAGACATATAAATTAATTATTCTACCTTTTTAGCATAGAAACTGGTTAAGTTAACAGGGTTCGTACTTGTACTTTATGGTAGGATGCTTGTCAGTAATAATAGACGTCTGTTCATAGTTTCATGGTAAGAGACATCTAAATTAATTATTATACCTTTTTGGCATAGAAACTGGGCCCTGTTTCACAAAATCTTAACTAAAGATAAAATCCAAATTTTAGTAGATACTTCAATTTTGATTGGCTAAGCACTAAAATCAATCTAATATTATCTAATCAAATTACTCAAATTTGGATTTTATCTTAATTAAAATTTCGTGAAACAGGCCCCAGGTTAGTTAATAGGGTTCATAGGATGCTTGTCAGTATTACTAATAGAATCATTCAGTATTTACTTCTGTTCATAATGTTATCATGGTAAGAGATCGAGATCTGAGGGACCGTCACAAAATTTCAACAGTTGCATCCAAATGAATAACCTGTAGAACTTGGTGGGCGGGCTGGACACCCTGGATAAAAATTGATAAATTAAATGATGAATCATAAACGGAAATATGTCAAAGCGAATAACCTGCGAAACTTGGTAGGTGGGCTGGACACAATGGATAAAAAATAAATGATGAATCGAATCATGAACGAAAATATATGAACATTTTCTTACTCTGTGGGTGCGGATAGGCAGATGGGTGTCTGGGTCGAGATTATCTGCTGGTTATTCACCTGGGGCTTGTTTCACGAAATTTTAACTTAAGATAAAATCCAAATTTTAGTAGATACTTCAATTTTGATTTGCTAATCACTTAAATAAATCTAATATTATCCAATCAAATTACTAAAATCTGGATTTTATCTTAGTTAAAATTTCGTTAAACAGGCCCCTGGATCTAAGTGTTGCAATATAGAATTCAAATTATTCTATTTTATAATAAATACAGCTCTATGTCTGCTATATAGAAGAGTTATTTAGTACCAATTTAATGGCTACAGTAATTGGAATTATTTCAATCTTATTAAAATTTAGATTACCATATTGATTTTTGTCAAAAGCTTTTAAATATATAATGTGAAATATTATTTTAATTAAAACAGAATTTTTATGTTACAACTACATGTAGTATTTTGTCAATGTTATTTTTAAGATTGTTTACATCTCACAATTGTCTGTCTGAATATTACAACATGTAAATACGATTTTTCGTAATACAAATAATAAAATGAACATAGCAAATTTTGAAAATTAAACATTATAAGGTCCATGATGGTAGGGTTCACCTCTAAAGCAACCCGAGAAACTGGACGGTCATAGATTGGACGGCTGATAAACTACAGGTTATCACAAATCGAATATTTTTTTTATGAATCTTGACGACTTTTAAGACTTTTTGGACAGCAAGTTATTAACTGAATATGTGTATTAGATTCTGATATTAAAAGCAGTTTCTCACTGTTTTTCGTCAAATATAAATAGTATCGGGGTCCTAATGTTAACAGCAAGGTTCTCAACATCTTGAAACAAACCGGCAAGAGTTGGGCCAAATGAGGTCCCGGTAGGAAATGGGTTAATTATAAGCTTCCATCCCCTCTAAAATAACCAGACTTAAAAAAAAATAATTTTTGGTAATATACAATGTACAACGACAAATAGGTACACCGTGTGAATATTTTCCATATTTTATTCATGTACAGGCTTGAACTTGAAGTTTATTAATGTCTTTGTTTATCTGTTTCATCTGTCAATCTAAAATATTAGCATTTTTCTACTATTGCCAATATCAGAAAATGCCATAGCCAAAATAAACTGATACAGCACCATGTCATTTCTTCTTAACACATAACCTTTTAACTTAAAAGGTTCATGGTTATATATGTTCTTTTAATTATTAACTATATTTAGTTTTTTTTGCTGAATGTTCAACAATCTTTTTTTAGGTCAAGTAGATACTATATATCAGATATATTTTATGAAGGTTTTAGTTTTAGTAATTTATTTGAAACGTGATAGCATCGATATATTCACACAGGTTTCTGCATGTTGTAATTTATCATTTTTTTGACACCCTGATCCAAGTTTTATGAGTAATTAAGCTATATGGGTGTAGACAAATTGGCAACACTGAAAAGTTTATTTATGACTTTTACCTATGAGGACAATTTTATTGTTATGTAAATAATAAATATATTGATGTATTTTACTTGGTTGAAAAAGAAATATGCTGTGTATAGTACATATTTTAAAAATACTAGTGTAGGATTAGTCATACCATATATTTCAGGTTCAGGAAATAGCATGAATGAATAATATAATATCAAACTTTGTTCATTCATGGATTTTGTAAAAGTTTGTCTTGTGAGGATCAGAGGGGTTGGGTGTGTTTTATATTATAAGATCAGCCATTGACATGGTTTTGGTCCTAAGGAGTAGGGTTGCCTATCGAACCTCGTGGGTTTTCTCTGGGTCCTCTGGCTTCTCCCAGTGCTAAAGACCCCTACGCACAAACGAATTATCGAAATGGAATTGAACCATATGTTAGTTAATAACAATGTTTGTGTCAAGTGGATGTTAATCTTTGATTGAGTGAAGTGGTATGGTTTCGATCCTAAGGAGTTGGGTTGCCTGTCCAACCTCTTGGGTTTTCTCTGGGTCCAGGTTTCCGTCAATTCTAAAGATCCCTAAGCGCAAACAAATTATGGAAATAAAAATTTAACCATATGTTATTCCGGAAATTACCATTTTTTTGTCGAGTGGATGTTTATTTTAATCTCTATCTCTTTTTTTCCCCTCTCCCCCCTCCCTCACCCTGTCCTCTTCACTCATTGAGGTTAATTGACATGTATTTATACTGTCTATGTAACCTTCATTCAGTTGTTCAGGTTAAATGACATGTATATACAGGAACATGTATAACCAGTACACTGTCTAGTACACATCTGTTTCAATAATCAATACCTCATTGACGTGTGGGAGTGAGTTGGCGAAGTAATAGCACAAGTATTAGTCTGTTATGTGATATCATTTATTTTTCATTTTCAGCTGAAAATAACGAAATAGAAATTCTTGAGTCGTCAGAAAGCCGGAAGGAGAAGCCATTTTCAAGTCTGGATGAAACCACAGGAAATAATAACAGCTTGCCAGTTAAACACAGAATGCATCGTTCAGCAGTCAGACCGTTCTTCTGTTGTGGTAGTGAAATTTCTTTGGTAAGTCTTGTGGATAATACGGACAAAGAAAATAATTCCCAAAGTGTGGATACTGAGAAGTCATTGGAGATCACGGGTGAGGAAGATTCACAAGACAGTCTTTTACCCAAAACCAAGAGTGGGTCGTCCAAATGTAGCGAGTGTAATGGTGCGTGTTCTGGGTGTCGAAGACAAAGTTCATCAGTAAGACGGAAAAAAAGTGACAAAATGCAAGGGAATTTAAATAAATCAAAGAAAAAATTCTGGAGTCTGAAGCTACGTGGTAAATTTCCTCAAGGTGGTCGCTATTCGAGTCATCACAGCCATTCATCCGATGCTCCGAGTGAATTGTCTCGCAGTAATTGTCCTAGTCATAGTCATCATCGACAAGACTTAAATCGCCAACAAGATTTACTTCAGTCGGCTAGTAATCAAATCCTTGTTGATGGACATAGAATTCTGTGGAACAGCCCGTTAACTCTTAGTGCTAATTTTGACGAGCTGTATCCCACAGAAGATTTTGATGAAAGACGTAAAGCAGATCGAGCTAAGGAAATACGCGAAGGAATTGAGTTTGATAAAAGAAGCCGCTCTGTCAGTCCGACTGTTAGTCAAACGGCAGGTGCCGCAGGTCCGTCAAATGTTTTATGCCAAATGTTTGAAAATCGCTGTTCTCTAACTTTAACGTCATATCCTGCGTTAAGTCACGGTTATGGAGTGAACTCTGATTACGAAGAATCTCTTTATGGAGAATTGGATTTCTCCACGCCACTCTTTCCAAAAGTTGTACACACTCAAGTAGATTATATTCATTATCTAGTCCCGGAACTTTCACATATCACAAACTGTAGTTTCTACTGGGGTGTCATGGATCGTTATGAAGCCGAAAAATTGCTGGAGAATAAACCTGAAGGAACTTTTTTATTGCGTGACAGTGCACAAGACGAATTTTTGTTTTCGGTAAGTTTCCGTCGCTACAACAGGTCGCTGCACGCCCGTATTGAACAATGGAAGCATAAATTCAGTTTTGACGCTCACGATCCAGCAGTGTTCGCTACCGAAACTGTGTCGGGTTTAATTGAACACTATAAAGACCCAAATTGTTGTATGTTTTTTGAACCCATGTTAACCTTGCCATTGAATCGTTCGTTCCCATTCTCCCTTCAGCATTTATGTCGTTCTGCCATTTCTGATCATATTGCGTATGATGATATTGCTTATCTCCCCTTGCCAAAAGCTCTGAAGAATTATATCACCTATTATCATTACAAGCAGAAGGTTAGAGTAAGATGTCTGGATATGCCAAACTAAAGTAAAGAGAAGAGATTATTTAATTATAGTGATGGTGAATCTGATTAAGACACAGATCCTATTTCGTTTCGTTTTTTATAAATGTAGTTCAAAATTTAGTTTTACTTGTCTTTATCACACTAGGATCTAGAAGAGTTGATATATTATCGCCGTTTTGGTTGAAGGGAGGGATAAACCAATGAAACAGTCTGTTACAGTGACTTCTTGGCATGCCATGCACAGAACTGATGGTAAACCACTAGAAACGCCAACGCTGATTGATTAATCAATGTCTGACGTCATAGGGTCGAAACCCGCTCGTACGACCCCTGACACAACCTTCTAGTACAACTTTTCAGATCTTCATGTAGTGTAGACCATCGAAACTATTAAAAATGAAACAAAATATAGATCTGTATTTAAATCAGATTGTGATGGTACAATGTATTATAGTGTACATATATATATATATTCACTAAAAAAAATTAATACCCATTAAAAAACTCTTGTGGGATAAAAACAAAGTACCAAAAATATCTATACACAAGCACATGTAGACCCAGGCAGTATTATTTATATTTTAGCCATTATTTATATATATTTATATTAAATACTTGAAATATTATGAAGATGATCATTTTATTAAACTTCCCAAATATTCTCGAATGAAAGAGTTATTCCCTCAGTAAACTTCAGAATTTTGACTGATTCTACCGTTGATATATACTGATGGCCAGTGAAAGAATTTAACACCTGACTTAATGTTGGTTTTAAATTTTATAACTGCAGCGATGAAGAACTATTATTTATTGAAATTTATTCTACATGTATGAAGTCTGTCCAACTCTTTGTATAAGCTTAATTAAAGTATAAATTTGATTTCATGTGTACTGGTCCCCTAAAAATATAAGCTTATTCAGTTAGTGTATTTTGTTACAAATACTGACCATCCAGTCTAGTAATAATAGTAATACTGGTTATATCTTATGGTTAATGTCAAACTGGACATTGATCTGCGGTTGAATTTACCATAATGATGACTACATATACAGTACATGCCAGGTGGAAGTATGACATTAGCCCTTGTGATTCTTTTTTCCCATACATACTTCACGGAGATATATATGTAGTTGTTTTAAGCTAGTGAAAATCTTCTCTATTTTCTTAAAGAACGCTTTGCAGTTATATGTAGCAACCTTTTGTCAATTCTACAAAATCCATCCAATTTGGTTGACAAAACCACTGTATGAAAGTCTTACTGACAAAATAGAAATTTAGGTATAATAAGATGAAATTAAAACCAAACAAGGTATTAATATTAGATGTAACATGCAAGGACAATAAGTCTAAAAATCAGATAGTTATTCCATTTTATTCAGGCCTGGAAATAACAGTTTTAGATGTACCTGACAAAATGTCAGGCACTAATGAAATAGTACCTGACATTTTCATCTTAGTGCCGGACATGTATTAATAATATCAATACAAAATACAAATCAGTGTTGGACAAAATGACAGGCACCAGAGGTTTTGTGCCTGACAAAACCTGAATCTGTGCCTGCCCTGGCATTGTCTGCGACAGGTGCCTTATTTCCAGGCTTGATTTTATTGCATCAAATGTGCTATAACTCATCTTGAAACATCATTGCTAATCATGAGTGATTTAGACCCTTGGGCCTCTTCTATCACTGTTCAGTTGCAACAATTTAATAAGAAATATTTCCTTTCATATAATCTTCATGTATGGTGTAAATATTAGACTGTTAAATGAAATACATGTACCCTTAATGGTAATATAGGTTTTCCCTTTGTCAGTGGTACAGGACAGCTCTCATGTCGTTCGGATGGCATGCACAGAAAAGAGCCTTTGGCAGTGTGAATTCGATATAAGAGTAGGCTATAGTGCCGCTGCCCAGGCAAAATTTCACTCACAGCACCATGTTTGGCGCATGCCTGTCTTTATTATCCCAGTCGAAGCAGAACAGTAGGACGTTAAATCTCATTTCATTTATGGTACATGTACATGTTATATGTGTTATACAGAGTTGTGTATATTATACGTTTTTTTATGGAAATATTATACAAATGGTATATTTGTTTGAATTGCTTACATTAAGGCCGTTGCCTTTATTTTGAATTTTTTTTTAGCCTTGGTCATTCCAGTCCATATTGTCATCACTTCAACTAGAACAAATTGTGGACCAAAATTGTGCAAAATTTATTATTGGTTTCAACGGTCACACTAAGCTTCTGTTATGCATTTATTAAGGGGGGGGGGGTTGGATGGTCGAATGGTTAGCACGTGCGTGCTGTATTATAAGGCCTGTCATTGAGTCAACTGGCGTGGTTTCGAATCCCCAGTCGTACGTGACAAGTAGTAGGGTCGCCTGTCCAACCTCGTGGGTTTTCTCCGGGTCCTCTGGTTTCCTCCCACTGCTAAAGACCCCCTACGCGCAACAGAATTATTGAAATAAAATTAAACCGTATGTTAGTCTCGAAATGACCTAGTTTGTGTCGAGTGGACGTTAAACCCCATTTCTCTCTCTCTCTCTCTCTCGCATTTATTAGGACTGATTAACATAAAAAATGACCCCCAACTTGTATTTGAAGTATGCAGAATGCATTTTAATTGGTGGATTATGACAACTTTTCCCATAAGATATTGCGTGAACTGATGCCGCCAGTTACCATATACATGTAGTTACACAGTAGCTTCTGTTTTGTCTGGCTGGTGTGGTTATCTTTTGCAGAAACCATGTCTAGTTGTTTGAATGGGCCCAAAAACTGAAATTCTGTAAACACGTTGGCGGGCACAAAAAAAAATCTTATCAGTTAGAATTCGAAATAAGAGTACGCTGTAGTGCTGCTGTACTGGCAGTATTTCTGTCTTCATTAGCCCAGTCGATACAGAACAGTAAGGTTTTAAACCCCGTTTCATTTCTATTTTGTCCAGACTAATGTTCGTTGTAATCAAAGTGAAGACAATATAGGCTGGAATGATCAAGATTAGACAACGGTCCACTAGGCATCGGCATAATTGGGGTTGTGGAATTTGTCTTTTGGAATGGATTGTTACTCTACGTGGGTATGTGAGAGATGAATTTAAGTCGTTGTTATATTAAGGGTTTTTTGGTTATTCTATTCTACATCAGTTGGTCCAAACATTCATAAAACATAATCAAAATTACCTGAAGTTTTTTAATTACAGCGAAATCAAGAAGGTTGAATCTCGGTTCACTTCCTTGTTGTATAAAAATATTCTTCCTGGACCATTGATGTGTGCTGTGTTGTTATTATGTAGGATATTCATTGATGTATTTGATTATTTTGTTCAATAATAAATGTACATGTACTGTATCTATTATATTTGCACACGTTACTTTATTTAAAAATAAATTATATCTGACTGTCTGACAGTGTCTCTATACAATTACCGGAAAAGAGAAAGAAATAAAAATTTACCCGATTGTTAAAAGATGGAAGTACGCCCTCACAGCAGCCATGTCACCACAGTAGTTTATCCGAAAGGAAAGCTTGGATGTAGGCCAAATTTGATATTGCGGCAAAGGGGGGGGGGGATAACTCTGGAATGGAAAGTTGCAAAATGCTGTATATCAATAGGGTTTGTCCTCTAATGGCAACAATGCTTCAGACCAAATTTCCAGAATGCTCAATATCGATAGGGTTCATCCTTTTATGGTCACAATGCTACAAACTAAATTTGGAAGGGACTCATTACAGTCTCTACTGCATTCACAAGTTTTCGGCAAGTGGAGGGGAGGGGGCGTAACTCTGGAACAGAACTGGATAGGGTTTGTTTATCCTCTCATGACCTCAGTGATTCCGATCAAATTTTAAAGAAATGAGTTAAAAACTCTAGCCTCTATCGTGTTCACAAGGTTTCTGGAAGCGAGGGCATTCTTACTGCATGTCAGGAATCCTGTAGGTCCGTCCAGTCACAATTTATATCTGATTTTGATGAAACTTAAGATATAGGTTTATCTCCAAAAGATCTTGGTTCCTTTCGTTATCGTCATGTATTGGACCGTAATTTCATGGATTATAGCCCTGATTGTATAAAAAGTCACGTTTTTAGCTAGAGGTCACAATTTTTATCCAATTTTGATGAAACCTGAAATGTATCTTTAAAACCCAAAGATCTTGGCTCAGGCATATCACACTGTTACTTCCTGGATTGTAGCCCTTGATTGTACGAAAATCTATCCATCTTGTGCAAAATGTCAGGGTATCTTGCATAGCAATCGCTGGTTATTTTTAGATATCCTTCCTTTAATTTGTGCCAGATATGGTTAACATGTCAACTCAATAATTTTAATTTGATCTGACAGATTTTTTAAAATTTTAATATGTTGTTAATTAGGTAATTACATGACAATGGGAACACACACAACATACAACACAAGCTATATATGGATATAACTACTTTTCTTTATTAAAACGTCACACGTATGTGTTGCGAAACATTGTTAGAAAAATGTGTGATGTGTGTTAGGAAACGTGGTTAGAGAAATGTGACAGGTATGTGTTACGAAACGTCGGTTATTAAATAACCAAGAAGTACATGTAGTCACCTAGTGTTATTTGTTGTGATGTACATGTCATGTAAAGAATTAATGGAAACACTTTCTGTTACACATGACAAAGAAAGATCATTGGTTCATGACAAAGAAAGGTCATTGGTTCAATTATGGCAACTGAGTTAAAATATATGTAAACTGATTTATGTAGAATATACCTGATTTAATCAGTTCATTAAAGATGCATTATGTAAGAATTTGATAAAGAGCTGGCCATTCTGAGTATAATAGTTTCAAAATAGATAATGCAAAATGAATATATTGAAACTGTCAAGACTTAGTCTTGATTATCCATTTTATTGTTATATTTTTAAATCTCAGGCAATCAATGGTAGGGTGACCCGTGCAGTGAAAATTTTCCCTACAGAAAGTTGGACTCGACACGACGAATGTGCACGCTTCAGTGGCTTGTCTCGAAGTGATTTCTGGCTAACCACGCAGTATGATAATACTCAGTGCTAGAGTCTATGAAACTATAAATAGCCATCGCACGTGCAATTCTCTACACATCTATCAACTATTACAGCCGTAAAAAAAACTATTGTTGATGATTCTGAATAGCAGTAATATTTAGCAGCTTTAGAAATTACGTTCATTTTATTTTTTAAATTGCTTTATCATTAACTGTACCGTTAGGAGCAGCATCTTTGGTTTAGTACAAATAATATCTCTGAAACACTCGAGTTAGGCAGGAACATGATACTCGCAGTAGTTACATTTTACTCACAAGTGCCCGGATGTTATGACCGACACACGTAACCATAAGTATTGTGGTGTAATTGTCGAGCTATTTGGAGATATTTATTTATGGTGGGTCACCCTACCAATGGTCTAGATAATTGATTATTGTTAAAATTTCAAAATCTTGCAACTCTTCAAATCCATTTAAATCTTGGCCATCCGGTGGTCTAGAGAGTCCATTTTGCTTGTCATGTATATAAATGTCTAAATAATAGTTTATATAATATTTCATGCCAAAATAAAGACCTGCAATATGCAGATTTAGCTCTTACATAATGCATCTCTAATAGATATTATAATTTATACAGTACATGTATGTTATTTGTTTACACTTACAGTGTATCGGAGATTCAATTATGTTTGTTTCTTGTTTATGATATTAAAGATATATCTTTAAATACAAACTGTGTGTATGTTTTATTATATGCCTACATATAATTTAACGTTGTCACGTGTCTGTCTGTCTGTCTGTCCACCCCCAAAATGGGAACCGCAGTGGCTCATCGAGTAAGAAACTGGCTCGTTTCAGGTGTTGGCAGAGAAAATTCCACATAAAATACACAATATTTATTTAATATATCTCGCATCTGGATGTTTTTTAGGGTTTAGGCCGTTAGGTCCCATGTACACATTGACGTGCAGTTAGAATTCGTTATAAGAGTAGGCTGTAGTGCCACTGTCCGGGATATGCTTTATATCTGTCTTCATTATCCCAGGTAGTGCAGATCAGTATGATGTTCATCCTCATTTCATTTCATTTCCTTACAACACAAGGTATATGGATATAACTAGTTCTGTTATAAAAACATGTGGTCAGGAAACGTGTGGTGTGTTAGGAAACCTGGCTATAAAAAGGCATCCCAAACATAGGCCGCCTGTCCACAGTTAGCTCCGTCCGAGAACATGTATTCTCGAGGCATGAAGTAGATGGATCGCTGTGTTCAGCCGTATGATAAAAACGTTGACATGTAACCCAGTCAATCCTGGAAAATTAGAAAGAGAGAGCAATAGGGTTTACCGTCTACTCGATACAAACTAGATCATTTCCGGACTAACAAATGGTCCAATTTTATTTCAATAATTCGCTTTCGTGTAGGGGCCTTTAGCAGTGGGAGGAAACCAAAGGACCTGGTTAAAACCCACGACGCTGGATGGGTGACTCTACTCCTTGTCACATACAACCGGGGAATCGAAACCAAGCCAGTTGACCCAATGACAGACCTGATGATACAGCGCGCACATGCTAACCATTCGGCCATCTACCCCCCCCCCCCTCAGAAAAGTAAGAGTTAAAACCTAATTTCATTTAACTTAACAATACTAACAACAGTTAGAAGGATCTCTCGCCTGGTCGATGCTATGTATATGATAGTCATTATGGTGTGTCACACGCTACAGGGAAGTCAATAACCTGAGATATTAATATCCTGTAATTAACTACACAGCCAATGTTAATCTGTGATATTAATTCAGGATATGGTATAACTTCCTCATTAGCTTGTTTATCCAGACAGATATAAGGACATACAGATTCATACCAGGATGTCCTATAATAACCATTATAAATATTTATGAACCAAGTTTTTAATTACAACTTTATAGTTATCGATTTTTCGAGTAATGCAACAAGGATATCGCATAAAATGACCAACAGAGAATTTAAAGTTTTTGATTATCGCAGTTATTGATTTTATTTTTAGTAATCATATAAGAATTATCTATGTTCTAGACTTCTCCTTCTGTTTACATTTTTACTTTAAAATCAAGATTTTAACACCTCCCAACACCCATTACAATCATGTTTAACCATACATCAACTGCTCTCAGGGCGCCAAAATAGTTCTAAAATAATTTACAATCATCTTTAACCATACATCAACTACTCTCAGGGCGCCAAAATAGTTTTAAAATAATTTACAATCATCTTTAACCATACATCAACTGCTCTCAGGGCGCCAAAATAGTTCTAAAATAATTTTGTACCATAAATAAGTATCATTTATTATGTTGTATATTAATGATATCTGGAGAGAGGAATGGGGTTTAACGTCCACTTGACACAAACTAGGTCATTTCGGGACCAACATATGGTTTAATTTTATTTACATAATTCGCTTGCGCGTAGGGGTCTTTAGCAGTGGGAGGAATCCGGAGGACCCAGAGAAAACCCACGAGGTTAGACAGGCGACCCTACTCCTTGTCACGTACAACCGGGGATTCGAAACCACGCCAGTTGACTCAATGACAGACTTTATGATACAGCGCGCACACGCTAACCATTCAGCAATGATATTTGGGCCACATAAATCTATCTATCTACCATACTGTAATACAAATTGCATTTGTACGAATGTGACAGGACAGTGACTGTTGATGCAAGAGTGTAACACTATCTTAGTGATAACAGATATCAGTTTAGTAAATAATCATTTATTTACATCAGGTGTATAAAACAGCTACATAAATACAACAGGAACATATAATATTAAAAAGAAACTACATGAGGAACATAAACAATAACATCAATATGGTACATTAATATAGTATAAGACTATATTTCAACCATTTTCGCCCTTCTGCCTCGGCAGCGACTGGACTCGGATGAACCCATTCGCCGGTTTCTGCTCCTCCCTGCTCATCTCTTTTCTGTCATTAAACTAGTTGTTATATACCTTTCAACTGGGTCTACACACATGAGATCATTACTATTTACAAGTTATCTTAATTTTGCTGACTGATATAAATATATACATGTGGAATTGATAGTCTTTAACTAGTGCGTAGGTGTTTAGATCAAAGTGTAGGCCTCTAGTTGAAAAGCCGCTATCATATATTATCAAAACCAGCTGGGATCAAGAAATTCACTGCATCTAGATAATAGTTGTGCAATGTATTTCATAAAATACAAAAATTAAGCACTTTGTCACAAACGCCCAAGTAAGTCTTAAACTGGCCCCAACTAGTCAGCTGCTACAAGTTATTAATATGTTGTGATAAAGATTGCTTACTATAAATATGAATCAAATGATGTCATTACACGTATTGGGTTGAACCATCTGTTACTTCAAAACTTTAAACTCCCAAACGCTATTCAGCTGAAAAGTTATTTTCACTTCAAAACTTTAAGCATACATTATGCAAGAGCTAAATCTTCCTATTGCAGGTCTTTCTTTAGACCTGAAATGTTATTTGAATTATTAATTAGACATTAATTAACTTATCCAGACCATAATTAACTTCTCGATCTCATCGTTAGCCTGCGATACTTACTGGATTCGAATCTAAAATTCAAAATCTAATATCTTGGTTCAGAGTGGATCAATTTGACTGAAATTTCAGCATATTCCCTTTACATTATCTAGTTTTTAACTATACTATTCAAAAAAAGTAGGGGATATTTGATTTTGGGGGCATAATACTAAAATATGCAAATGACTACGAAAAAAGTCACTATAGAACCTAACAGAAGAAACATTTCCAGTTACATGTGACGCCCAAACGCACCAATAGCTACCGCATGGAATGCAGGTGATGCTTGGGATCATCATGGGGGTCCAACCCAAGATTTGCACGACTCTGACTTTGAATGTTACAGTCATTGTGGCATTGAATTCCAGGGTGGAAACATCAGTTTAATTGTTTTAGTGACCAGAAAACAAATTTTGATATGCGTCGGCTTACCCAAAATGAAAGGTTACGTGCCCTTGGCATGCTACAGATCGGCACAACACAGGCGGTTGTGGCGCGGACGATGAATGTTTCTCAGTCTGTCATAAGCAGGCTATGGTCCAGATACCGTGATACACAATCTGTACAGGACAGACCACGCTCAGGTCGACCAAGGGCGACAACTCAAGCCCAGGATCGATTTATCCGTACCTTGGCCTTGAGAAATCATGTCATCACAGCAAATCAGATCAGCGCTCGTCTTCAAACAGACACTGGTGTGAGAGTGAGTGGCCAGACGATTCGGAATCGACTGCATAGGGGTCACCTTCGCGCCCGACGTCCTCGCGTGATCCCTTGTTTGAGAGATCATCACATTCAGGCAAGACGTCGTTGGTGTAGGGATCGTCAACACTGGGATAATCGACGCTGGAGCAATGTGATGTTTTCAGATGAGTCAAGGTTCACTGTTGATTTTTTGGACAGACGTAGGAGGGTGTGGCGTCGTCGAAACGAGCGCTTCCAAGACGTTAACGTCATCAGACATGATCGATTTGGGGGTGGTTCTGTTATGGTGTGGGGAGGCATCACTGTTGCTGGAAGAACGGCTTTACATGTTGTTGCAGGGCGTGTTACAGGCCAGTACTACCGGGACAACATCTTGGCAGTCCATGTCGTGCCGTTCGCACGACGTCATGGCCGCCGTTTCATCTTCCAAGATGACAACGCAAGATGTCACAGGGCCAGGATCGTTACAGGTTACCTCCAACAACAGAACATCACCACATTACCTTGGCCAGCACTGAGTCCCGACCTCTCCCCCATCGAGCATGTCTGGGACATGCTTGGACAGAGGTTACGTCAACGTCAACAACGTCCTGCCAATGTCCAAGAACTTGCTGCTGCATTGCAACAGGAATGGGACCTTAGACGTCTCATTAGGAGTATGCCACGTCGGATCAATGCTTGTTTGGCAAACAGAGGAGGATTTACCCGTTACTGACTTGGTTGTGATGCTGTGGTAACTTTGCTGTTTGACCCCGGGTATCATTTTACCCTTATAATGGTCAGTCTGTGCCTTACTTAGTCTAACGATCATTTGGAATAAATCGATGAATGTGAACTTCATTTCATTTTGTCATTTGTTTCTTGGTCAGTTTCATTAGGTGACTTTAATAACACTTAAAAATCAAATATCCCCTACTTTTTTTGAATAGTATATTATAGTGAGAACTGCCAGCTCTTTAATCTCCCACAATGCTCCTTTATACTACAAAATTTCCTGGCATATGCCTGTCTTCACTAGCCCAGTCGGTAAAGAAAAGTATGACGTCAAACCCAATTTCATTCCCTTAAAGTTGCAATTTATTTTTACGTTATATTTTTAAAATTTATTAAAATAAAGCCTTAAAATAGATGGTATCTATAAACAGTCCTGCCTTGTTAAAGAATAATCCTATTAATCCTATAATTCACTATTGCCAGTTGAGAAATTGGCAAAAATATCATTTTCCTCTTCAAATTCAAACGTTTGAATATCGCTACTCCATGGTGGAGAATAGAAAACAAGGGAGGTAATTGTGTTATTATTTCCGGCGTAAACGAGTTTTAAGTGTGAGAATGACACCTATGATCGTATAATAGTGAGTTGACAACCTATTGAGCAAAAGACATAGAAATAATTATGTTTTGACTTTCTTAGAAAATATGAAATTGTAACTTTAACCAAAAACATCTGCGACACTCATATGCTGCCATTTAATCCAGAAAGATTTCTGGGGCTATGTGATTGGCTGAACAAATTCAAATTTAAACTAATCATAAGTACAGCTAGGAAAAGCTGAAATCTGCCTTTATGGTGGGCTACCTATGATTGATGAGATGTTCTGTACGTTTGTCAAGTCGGACAATGCTTTGAATCATTTACGGAGAGAGGGAGAGAAATTGACTAACAATTTTATTATTTATAGCAGTCGGAGGAAACCAGAGAAAACCCATGAGGTTAGACTGGTGACCATATTCCTTGTCACTTGACCCGATGCATGCATTAGACCACCTCCCCAGATACATCATGCTTTGACTCATTTACAGGCAGAGAAATAGGGTTTAAGGTCCACTCGACACAAACTAGGTCATTTCAGGCCTAAGAAATAGTTTAATTTTATTTTAATAATTCACTTGCACGTAGGGGTCTTCAGCAGAAGGGAAAAACCGGAGGATACAGAGAGAAAACCCCTGAGGTTGGACAAACAACCCTACTCATTTTGTCAGTTGACTCAATGACAAGCTATAGAGAGAATTGAAATGGGGTTTAACCTCCACTCGACACAAACTAGATCCTTTCAGGACTAACACGTGGTTCAATTTTATTTCAACGATGCGCTTGCACCTAGGGGTCTTTACCAGTGGGAGGAAACCGGAGGACCCAGAGAAAACCCACGAGGTTGGAGCTATTAATATAACTTATGATCTAAAGTGCATGCATTAGACCACCCAACCCTCCAGATTCATTAACAACAACAACTTTAAATAAAATGACATAAATGAGCACTATATTCAGTATATCAACAGAAATATATATATATACATACACATGAGTGATACAATGAAGATTATGATTGATGTACAGGGGTTGATTCTATACAAACTAGTTATTAAAGGACAATATTGGTGTCAGTCATTATCACATGTGTGATAGAACTCGTTAAACACGTTCCAAATATAATGTTAACACAGAGATCATTGCTACCATAGATGCGTAATGAAGGTTTCTACAAAAGGAAGTGACGAACACAAAAGGAAAACACAAGTTATCCTTCTATATAACTGACTGAAGTGAGGAATGATAACAGACACACGGGTGAATTTCTGTTCACTAACAATTCCTTCGAAGACAAGAAGTTGTTATGTGAGACTGTGAGAAGATATGAGGATATCTGACAATTCAAAAAAGTAATTGAATGTCATTAGATAAGAGAACACGAGACAAATATAAATAGTCTGTGCATTCACTTGTTTTTATTCATTCTATACTTAATCAAAACATGGTAATGCACAGATTTTTTCTATATTCTTTCGTTTTCTCTTTTCTAGTGACAAGTGTAAAAATTATATTTGGAACATGTTAAACCAGTTCTATCATATATGTGATAATGACTGACACCAATATTGTCCTTTAATATAAACATTTACATCTCCTCTTGTCATTTATAACATAAACTGGTATTGTAATAACATGAAATACTGCTACATATTAAGGAACAAATCTTGAATAAAATAGTTCATATTACACATGGCTTACAAAATTTTTTTGATAGATTTCAAAAAATAGAGAAATATGAGGTACATCTATTTGTTTCTTCAGGGCTAACATTGTAATTTTTATTTACATAATTTAAGTAATATGGTCTCTAGAAGTTAAAGGAAACAAGATTAATCAGAGAAAATCACAAAAGGCAAGATCAAGCACCCTATTGATGATCAAACCTATGACTACTGGCACAGACAAATATAATAGACCTTATGTTCTACAGACCACTTAGCAACTATGTACTACAGACCACTCAGCCAACATGTTCTACAGCCCACTTAGCCATGTCATTCATCAGAATTAAACATAAGCTGATCAGTATTTCATTATTTTCTATAGTCCAGTCAGAGCAGAACAGTAGGATGTTAAACCCTATTTCATTTCTATATGACATAATACAACATTTGAACAAGCAATATGTAGTTACAAGATACATATTTAAATATTCAAGTTTGGACTTTTTTCATTAAAGCTTGAAGCAATTAAAGGAGAATTCCAGCAATTGCATTAAAATAGATCCCAAATGCAAACTATTTCACCAGTAATTCAGACATAATAACAGACTGGCTGTGATATAAGAAGAACTGTCTGTTACAGTAAATAAACAAACCAACTTTGATCGAACTACATTTTATTTTTATATCACCTATTCATCTTCAGCCGCATGAAGTAGCTACCTAGCATATGTTTTGTTGTGTTATATTGCCTGGATTGCCTCCCATAACATCACAGCCACGCACCAGATAATGATCAAAATATTTAATAAGTCTGATGTAGTTCTCCTTTAAGCACAAAACATTATTATTAAATATAATTTATTCATTATTTGTACGGATTTTATGACATTTCCCTCCTATTTATGAAAGTTTATATTTAATCGAAAGGATTAGTATAAGCTTTATTTTTTAACTCCTTCTTGTATACTTTGAATATATGAAGGACTAACAATTGAATAAAATATTTTAAACCAAAGCTAACTGTAAGTCAGGTTGCCAGGCAATCAATCAACCATACGTACACAGCAGTTAAGTGGTCTGAGCTGTCTATAAAGGCTGCCAAAGTGTGATTCTTTATGTAAGTAAAAAGCAAAATCTTCTAACCGTACAATATTATTTAAATACAGTATTAACAAGCATCTACAACACAATCAAGGGCAATAACTTTTTAACCTTATCAACTTGTGTTGATGTCTTTGATATACAGCATGGTGAGTGTGGGTATCATCTATTTACTATACAAATTGTACAAAAAGCTGTCAATATTTTATATATTCAGTTTGATACTAAAGAAATAAACCACCATTAGTAGATTTCATCTTTTTTTCTTTTTAGTGACAGCAGGTGATGTCTGGCTTTCAGCATCGACTTGATTGATTTTCTTCCTACGTACAACACGCTTGGTCCCATTTTTAGAAGCACTTTCTGAAAAACCAAAAAAGAAATGTTAATTTTAGAGGGTCTGGCAAGGGACAATGTATAGTTTTTCGGATGGGATGAAAAACCGAGGTTCCAAGTGCACATCGGCTTGCAAAATTGTATTGAGTATAAAATCTATGTCACCTCCACAGAAGCCATGCATACAACTTTTCTAATCTACTGTCAATCTAACTAAGAATTTACCCTAAACCACGGAACACAAATTCCAACCTTTAGCTGGCGATCTTTCATCTGTTGTAGATTTCTTTGCTCTTGAAGGTGTAGAAGCTCGAGATTTTTTGGGAGACGGTTCAAAATCCTCGTCTTCACTGAAATCATCTGCATTTAAATCTCTATCCTCATCTTCTTCAGAAAATAAATTCTCATCAGATTCGTCGTCGACGTAATTAATAGTTTTACGTTGTCGTTTACCAGAACTTGGGGATTTCACAGAAGGCTTTTCGGGAGATTTTTTAGTTACTTTGGGTGCTGGTGCCGATTTTTTAGCTCTGCTTGAGGGACTTGGTTTACTGTTGCCATTCATTTTAGCTAAAATTTGTCTCTGAGCTGGTGTCAGACCACTTGTTTTTTTCTGTTTTGATGGGCTGTCTGAAGTTGAGGCCTGTGGATCCTCTGATTTTCTCTTTGTTCCTTTCTTCTGTAGAAAGAAATTGACTGGTTTAATAAAATCATATTAATTGTATTTAAATTGAGAGAATAATTTCTATTTAAAGATATTTTTATATGTGACAGGTGTTATACATGTATGATTGTATGAGTGAAGTATGCTTGCTCTTTAAATAAGCCCACACAAAATAAAAATTCTGAATCTCAGACAATCCTTTTAAAAAATTGATGCAGGGGGGCCTTTTTTTGTTTTGTTTTGTATTTATTTTGTCAAAATCCAACTCATTTTTCATATTTAAAAAAAACAAAATTATTATAAATTTAATATCTATTAAACTCTTGAAAAGACAAACAAGAAATAAATAAGAATTTGAAATAGCGTCCAAATAATTCCGGGACTTCATCTATTATCTACATTAACTCCTGGGAAAATGTTTTCAAATCCGGCGGTTTTTATTTTGATGACCACTATTATTATTAGTATTAGTAGATTTACAATCTAAAAGGTATCAATATCGTACTCATTGTTAAAGGCATGGATTTATTTGGTGATTTTAATCAAAGTCTAATCTACCCGCAGAGAATATTTTCGGTCATCTCTTTCTCCCAGTCATATTTCTCGGGGAAGGTAAGGCATATTGACGGTAAAACTGTCGCCATCTTTGTTGTAAGATAAATTACCATTCGATTATCCACTGCCAATCGTGAATGTCCATAGTGTTTCCCATGGTTGTAGAAATTATTGACTTTGTTTTTATTTTTATTTTTTAAAAATAAACATGTGTCATACGGCCCATTTTTGATGACACGACAGTATATTTGAACCAGAATATTTTTTTTGTGTGGCTTTAAATAAACATGACATGTCTTATTAAAAGTAGGGAGCTGCAGTGGCTCAGTGAGCAAGACACTGGGTTACTCGCTGACTCGCTAACCAGGAGGTCCCAGGTTCATTCCGAAGACGGTCGAGAAAGTTCCTCAGGATTTTACGGCTTGGTTCCCCCCATGTCAGTGGTGGGGAATGGTGAGTCTAGCAAGAACAGTGTCTAATCATTCGGATGGGACAAAAAACAGAGGATCGTGTACATATTTTCAGTACAATTTTTAATATTATATCAGAATTAAAGTTGTAAAATATCTGACTGTGTTAAACGTACATTTGGTGCTGGACTTGCTGCTTTTCTCTTAGGTGCAGGACTTCCGGTGTCTTTCTTAGGGGCCGGACTTGCAGTGGCTTTCTTAGGGGCTGGACTTGCAGTGGCTTTCTTAGGGGCCGGACTTGCAGCGGCTTTCTTAGGGCTTTTTGCACGTTTCTTGGGTGAAACATTATTATTAGAACCATCTATTGATAAATTTAATTTCCATTCATCTTTTACTCCAACTTTGTTCAAACCTTGTCGTAATATCTGTCTCAACTGAGTGTAATTGGGTTTATCATCATATTTTAATTTAGCTACAGCTGTTAGGAATGTACTGATCACATCTAAAACAGAATATTATACAGAATTTAAAAATAAACAGTGAGGCTGATATCCCCTCGCTCAATCCCCTCCAAAAAATAGATGACACTTGCATATTTATCATATTTATAAAGGACTGAACAATCTAATCGCTTATCACTCCTCGTATCGTGTTCCAAAGCATAGAGAAATGACACTGTTTAGTCTAAGCATAGAATGCTTATTATCAAACTCTGTCAATACATCCACCTAATGAACATCTAATACCCATGTTTGAACATTCTATGTCAATTAGAAGCAGAGTTATTGTTTTACAAAAGGTGTGATGGACAAACAGACAGACAGAAAATGGACAAACCCATTTTAATAGTACCCTTCTTTCTCTGTTGATTTCAGCTGCTCTATAATTACATTTTTACATAATTACAAAATAATAAATAAATGACCTGTACTGGCTAAATAACATGTATGAAGGCCACACTATCGCGGCGTTTTCAATAATTTTGATATTTCCAACTTATTTGATTTGAAAAATGGCTTACTTTTATTTCTCTGATGCTCAAAGCAGAAACATTATCAGAAATGCATGAAATTTGTTGGTTGCTACTGAGTTTCACTTTGTAAGTGTCAGTTATTATCAATTGCTTTTTTCAGAAAATTGTTATGGTGTATATTATCAACCATTTTTTAAGAGAAATGCATACATTTCTGAATACAGAATTTAAATTCAAAATTTTTAAGACTTGCTGTGTTTTATTTTTCTGTACCTATGTTTCTCATTTAGTCAGAGTCATACATTAAAATAACCGATTTTCTTTGATAAAACTCTTTACTTATCATACCTGGAGCATCACCATCAGGAAAACATTTTTTCATTAATGTTGGAATATCTTTCATATATCTACAACAGATAAAATAATTTAATAATAACACTGCTTGTAAACAAACTGTTAAGTAAAAATTTTGATGAAGTTCAAATTAGTAATAAAGCTGTATGGGGTCTAAGGACAGATAGACCACATACAAAGTGTTAAGTTAAAATTTTGATGAATTTCAAATAAGTAACAAAGCTGTATGTGGTCTAAGGGGAGATAATTGAGCTCATGGATTCAGACCAGTAATTATCCACACATTGTCTTCAATGTCAAATTCTTGGCCTATTACAATACATCACAATCATTTGATAAAAATACTGATGGGGCAGCATCAAGCAGCATATAAAACAATGACTGAGTACAACAGATTTTAGTCTTAACTTTTAAAGCCTATGATTTTGAAACTCATTCTAGAATCAAGACACTTTATTGTGTCTAATCTTGTGAACAAATTACCAGAAGAGAAAGAGAGTAATGGGGTTTAACACCCATTCAACACAAACTAGGTCATTTTGGGACTGAAATAATGTTCATTAACTTATGGAGGATCCAGAGAAAACCCATGAGACTGGACAGTCGACAATACTCCTTGTTACATACAATTGAAACTACGCCAGTTGACTCAATGACAGACCTAATGATCTAAACATTAAACAATTCTGTCACCGAGTCCTCCGATTACCAAAAGTATAATATTGAACTATAAATTGTAAATAAATAGTTGAGCATATCTTACTTTATTTTAGCATCTCGAACATAATCTTTATCATCAAGTTTATTCTCCCACGGTAGAACACCACATAACCATTGTAATAAACAATAACCTAATATTTCTATATCTGCTCTTCTTGATGGCGCTGAATTATATAAAATTATATATATAAACTCTCGGAAATATTTTAATTCCTTCATTTCTGCAGTAAACTGAGACTGGTTGTCTCCTAAGTTCATCAAATTCACAAAACAGGAAATGGAATATACATATATCCTTTAACGGAATCAGAACACCCAAAAGTTCAAAATTTCTATCCACGGCCAGCGGAGTATAACTTTAATGTGCCTCCATTTTCCTGGCTGACCTTCGGGTATCTGATTCACAATTCAGGAGCATAATTATATTTGGGAGACACAGTTCTTTAGGCCTTAAATGCAAAAGGCACAACTACTATAATAAGTTGATGTGTTTACAAAGTTTCATAAAGACATTTTGAACAGTTCATGAGAATGAATGAAACAGGGTTTAACGTCCAACTGTTCTGCTCCGACTGAGATAATGAAGACGGGCATATACCATACAGTGTGCTATGAGGGAAAGTTTGCCCGGACAGCAGCCCTATGGCCTACTCTTATATCGAATTCAAACTGCCAAATGATCTTTTATGTGCACGCCAATGTGTACAGGGGACCTCAGTTTTTCATCCCACCCAAACGACTATACATTGTCCCTTGACAGGCCCTCTATCCTTAACCACTGATAAGGGGAACCACACCGGAAAGTCCCGATGAACTTTCTCGGCCAATGCAGGGATCGAACACAGGGTCTCCAGGTTAGCGTGTCAACATCTTACCCACTTAGCCACTGTGGATCCCTACTGAAAAATGGACAGATGGACGGAGCCGATTCAATATCTCTCAGTGCGGGATAATAAAGATATTAAATTTGTTTGATAAAGATTACTTACAGACACCATTATGAGCATCTCTACTGGTAAATTCTACAGTACCATCATGTGCTTTACGTGGATCTTCTTTATATTCTTTATGTTTACCATCAACAACATATTTAAACGCTAAACCAAAATCTACTAAAAATATCTGAAATATACATTGATTATTTCATCTAATAATCGGCAACAAATTAAAACTATTGATTATATGGAGAATTTTCACAGATAGCAATCAAAATATAAAAGATAGGTTGCCAGGCAACGAAACATAAGCCCACATCAGCTATATCGTCCGGGCAGTCAACAAGAGTTGTCGCATATTTTTACTTTTTTCGGTAATGAAACATTTATAATACATTAAAATCTGATTAAGAGTAACAACCAGGGCTGCCGACAACCAGTATCGCAGCGCAATTTGCGATACATATTTTGTCCGTTGCTAATCAAAAATTAAAATCTAAGTTTTTGATTCGCAGTAACTGCGAATCATTAATATGCCTGTCATTTTGGATATTGACACAAAGATTTATCTACATTTTTCAACACTTTCAACGTGTATAAAATATCAAATAAATTTTATAAACAAAACGGAACTCTCCATGTGACATTTTCTTCTCGAACTACCCAGACTCAATTCATTAAACTATATAATACAGGGACATAACTCTATGAATCGGGACTATTAAACCGGAAATAGGGAATCAAGTAGTACCACTCACGTTGCGAGACATGTCAATTTCGAGTAATTATATCAGTATTCAATTTGAAAAAAAATAAATTCAGTGTATCCCCCACGTATTGTAAATAAAATATAAAAAATAAATATGTGTAAACGTATTGTAAAATGAGAAATCAAAGTAAGAATTCACGTCAACTATTATTGTTTATATCGCGTGCATGCTTCCGATTGAACAAAACTAATAACACACGATAAAAAGCAGACGAAATTGTTTTCTAACGAAGAAATAAGAAGCCACTGCCAAGAATTGGCTTCAGACATAAGGCCTAACCAAAAGTCTACATTCATTCAGAAATGTTCACAGCTACCTGTAGAAGTGCTAAAATTCTAAAAAATCTTAAGAATGAAATCTAATCATTTGTTATCAATTAAAACAAGCCAACAGTGAGGCTGATGTCCCCCGCCGAAATAGGAAAATAATTAGAGGACACATATAAATTTATCACAAATTATCTTTTACAAAGTATTGAACAATCAAACAGTATATCTTTACTTCCAAAGTCTCGACCAATCAAATTGCGTATCGCTCTGCTTACCCTGAGCAGAAAATGCTCATTATCAAACTTAGTCAAGGTATTACTGTAATGAAACTATACACCAAGTTTCATCAATCTCACTTAATTAGAACTAAAGTTATCGTGTCCCAAAGCATCAACCAATCAAATTGCTTATCTCTGCTTACCCTAAGCGGAAAATGCTCATCTTCGAACTCCATCAAGGCATTGACCTAATCAACACATACACCAAGTTTGAACATTCTAGCTCAATTAGGAAGAGAGTTATCGTGCCCCAAAGTATCAACCAATCAAATTGCTTATCTCTGCTTACCCTAAGCGGAAAATGCTCATCTTCGAACTCCATCAAGGCATTGACCTAATAAACACATACACCAAGTTTGAACATTCTAGCTCAATTAAAAGTTATCGTGTCCCAAAGCATCAACCAATCAAATTGCTTATCTCTGCTTACCCTAAGCGGAAAATGCTCATCTTCGAACTCCATCAAGGCATTGACCTAATCAACACATACACCAAGTTTGAACATTCTAGCCCAATTAGGAAGAGAGTTATCGTGTCCCAAAGCATCAACCAATCAAATTGCTTATCTCTGCTTACCCTAAGCGGAAAATGCTCATCTTCGAACTCCATCAAGGCATTGACCTAATAAACACATACACCAAGTTTGAACATTCTAGCTCAATTAGGAAGAGAGTTATTGTGTCCCAAAAAGTGTGACGGACAGACAGACGGACGGACAGACAGACGGACAGACAGAAGGACAGACAGACAGACAGACAGACAGACGGACGAACCCATTTTAATAGTCCCCTGCTTTCTTCGAAAGGCGGGGGACAATTAAAATAATCTTGTTATTTAGGTGCTTTATGTTGAAACTGAAAAACTGCTAATCAATTTTTTAATTTGCTAATCAAATTTGCCAAAATTGGACTTTTTGATTAGCAGTGCTGCTAATCATCTGTGAAAAATTACCGACAGCCCTGGTAACAACTCATTAAATAATTATCAAAAACCATTAGAATTTGTTTGGTTTTTATAAAGTTCTGCCCCATGCTAACGTTTAGTATACGAAACTTTTAACATCATGGATTTAGCTGTTCAAGTCATAAAAATTAATTGAAAATCAATAGGCTTCTTCGTCTCATGACCTTAAACACTGTGTATAAATTTAAAGTCAATCGGATATTAACTTTAGCCTATAGAGCATTCACAAGCAATTGTGGACGCGGGACAGACGGACGGATGGCGACAACAATATACGACCACATTTCAATGTAGGCGTATAACAAAACACAATAAAGTAGATAGACAGTAATAATCCTTTAGAGTCAATTAGTAACAATAAACTATAACACATACTTATGGAAGAACAATTACTAATTTATTTGAGCGACCATGTTTAAGAAATTGTAAACAATACAATTAAAGGAGGCAAGTCTCTAACTCAATATCATCCATAGTCTTCGGCATTGCAAACAGGAGTTATTGGTCAACATTGATGTTGTTATCTTACCGGGAAAAGAAGGTCTTACGATATCCAATATTTAAGACAAAATGATCATTTTAAAATTGGCACACGAACTGCATGCTAGGATGCTTCTGAGTGCCATTTGTAATGCAGCGACCCAGTGAACGAGGCTAAAGATACCCCAGAGGAGAACACTACCAATGTAGACTGGAATAACCAGATGCCAAAGACTGCCATTCAATTTGGACTCTTCACATATTTCAGAAAACATAACTGATTAGAAATTACAGAAATGATTGAATGTAAATCAGTTTATAAACACTCATATTACATTATTATATGCGTGTCCATTTGTGTCCATTTCTAGGTCCCAAAGAATATAGATTTAGCTCCTTTAAAGCGAGAATTTCATATTTTCTAAGAAAGTCAAAACATAATTATTTCTATGTTTTTTGCTCAATAGGTTGTCAACTCACTATTATACGATCATAGGTATCATTATCACACTTATAAATCATTCACACCGGAAATAATAACACAATTACCTCCCTTGTTTTTCTATTCCCCCCCCCCTCACCATGGAATAGCTATCTTCAAATGTTTGAATTTGAAGTTGAAAATGATATTTTTGCCAATTTCTCAACTGGCAATAGTGAATTATAGGATTAATAGGATTATTCTTTAACAAGGTAGGACTGTTTACACATAGCATATATTTTAAGGCTTTATTTTAATACATTTTAAAAATATAACTTAAAAATATGAAATTCTCGCTTTAACATTTGCAAAACATAGAAGTACAACTATATGATTGAAAACATATTGACTGATTTATGAGCATCAGGTGTAGACATTAGTTTCCAGGTAAAAACAGTAATTATCTCACCTGATCATTGAGTACTTTACCATCTTTATAACCTAGTAATATATTAGCTGCTTTAATATCAGCATGTACATAATCATTCTCATGCATGTATTCCAGGGCATCTATCTAAAATAACAATAAATCATTTATATACATGTATTCTAGGGCATCTTTCTAAAATAACAATAAATCATTCTCATGCATATATTCTAAGGCATCTATCTAAAATAACAATACAGAAACAAAATAACATTAATCATTATCATGCATATATTCAATTTCCAGGCAACTAACTAAAAGAATAATCTATACTAATATTTGTGACTGTCGTTTGTCTGTCTGTTTGTCTGTCTGTCTGTCTGTCTGTTCGGGGTTGGCGGCTACACTAGGTCTGCTCCGAGTCTGAAATTTGGGGTATAAGGGTAGCTCGGACAGGGGAGTAACATAGGCCAGGTGGCATTAGTCTACCACTTCCGGTTTCGGGGTTATGACACCTGAGCGAAGCCGGGCATTCTTCTAGTATAGAATAAAATAAACATAAAATCAACGCACAAGATGAAAAATTAAATTTGAAAAGATATAAACTATCAGATGCATAATCTGGTAAATGTAGATTTTAGGGTCACAGAAACTACAGAAAAGTAGTGTGGTATATGCAATTCCATTTACAAATGCTTTTGATTCAACGATCAGCAGGGTTCCACCAATCAGTCTTCCTAGTCTCATACGTCACATGGACATACTCTAATGCAGAACATGCAGTTGTTTAATTATTAAAGAGAGAGAGAGAGAAATGGGGTTTAACGACCACTCGACACAAACTAGGTCATTTCGGGACTAACACATGGTTCAATTTTATTTCAATAATTCGCTTGCTCATAGGGGTCTTTAGCTGTGGGAGTTAAACGGGAGGACCCGGAGAAAACCCACAAGGTTGGACAGGTGACCCTACTCCTGGTCACGTACAACTGGGGATTCGAAACCATGCCAGTTGACTCAATGACAGATGTTATGATACAGCCTACACATGCTAATCATTCGGTCATCCAACCATCCAATTATTAAAGAAGTAATGATTCAGAACTGTAACACCTAGTAAACAACTAGTATAACTGCCTTTTTCAGGTCTTTATTTTGGGTTAAAATGTTATATAAACTATTATTCAGACACTATTCGATCACATGACAAGCCTATAATTAACTCGCAAGATGGGTGAGATTTAAATGGATTACAACAAAAATTTAACAATAAAATGGATAATCAAGCCTCGATTATCAAGTACCATTACTACAATAATAAACAATCTATACTAAATACTACATCTTCAAACAGTCATAACTTTGCTCAGAATAAAGTACTATGAGACACAAGACAATAATTATAACTAGTTTAACCCATTTAACCCTGAGCCAATTAAAAGATTAGCTACCCTAAACCTAAGCTAATTAAATCAGCAGGGCCCATTTCCTAAGCCAATTAGTGGATTATTGTTAATCCTAATACCCTCTACAAAATTGCAAATAACTAAAAAAATATTTTCTATACATAGAAATACTCTGTTACAAAAATGTACAGATTGTCGTGTTCTTTCCAATGATATAAAATTCAATTTTACAAAGTAGAAATTATATTACTATAAATAACATTGAAAAGTCAGTTCCACTAAAATTATGACTTTTCTCTGTCATAATGGTAAAATAACGTGAACAAGTATCCCCTAATAATTTTTTTTTAAAAATAGAACACAAATATAGTCCCGCACGTTGGCAGCAGTGTTCAAAGTAAATGTAAATATAACTTTTAAAAAGAAATATCACCCCAAGTGACGGTCACTTCATCGCTATCGGCATTTAAACATTTATGCCTTTCTTTGGATATATGGTCGTCTTCTTTGCTTTATTGCGTCGAAAATAAAAATATATATTTGAAATCTTCGACAGTGTAATATTCTTCTATGTAGCTTGTATTAAATCCCAAAAGTTATGATTCAATTTAGTTTTCCAAAGTCTAGAATTATTAGCCGTAAGTTTTGTGTTATCGTCTGTTTGAAAGCGCACCGTATCCAAGATGGCGGCGACATGCTTGATTTCGGCTCGAGTATTCGTATTCTTCGCATTATAATAATTTATAACATCAAAAAAAATAACAAATAGTTGATTTCTTCGACATTATCATATTCTACAATATGCCTGGCAGTAAATCATAAAAAATCTGATTCCATTTTACTCTTCATATCATAAAATTATTAGCCGTAAGTGACAACGTGAAAATAATGGAATACTGCCAAAGTCATTGATACGGTGTGAATTTTCACCTCTGACCTATTACATATATACTGGAAGATCCTTTGTTTAAACGTATGTTTTTTATTCGATAATTGGCGAATATAACATTCCTTGCCATTGAGTGCTTTATTTTTATTACTCAATCACCATTAATTTATGAAATAAACACAATAGAAATCTGTTGATTGATCTGGTGCTTTTGTTCGCTAATGCTGTTGCAAAGAATGATGGGTCCGCAAGTTTATTCGCTACCGTGAGTCACTTGGTGCGAGTTGTTTCGCTATTGTCAAAAATGGGTTAACATCAGAGATCATCCATAATAATAATATAAAACTTACCATTCTCAAACCAATACTATAAACAGCCTTGTGGGAGAATGATTTACCATTAGATTCAAAGAGTTTCTGTAGATCTGTGCTATACCTAGGTATGACCAAGAATCTGTACGTTTTACTATTTTTATTATGTGTACCAGCACCACAGAGTTTGGGTACAGGTAAATATTTTAACTTTTTCTGTTTTATCCAATCATCAACTGTAATACAAACAAAAATTATGTATCTTTTATTTCATTAAAGAGAGAGAGAGAGAGAGAGAGAGAGAGGTTTAACTCCACTTGATACAAACAAACTATGTCATTTCAATAATTTACTTGCACCTGGTAGGAAACTGGAAGATCTGGAGAAAACACACAAGGATGGTCAGGGACCCTACTACTTGTCACCTACAAGCTGGAAATCAAAACCATGCCACTTGACTGAATAACAGACCTTATGTTCTAAAGCGCATGCTTTAAACAACAGGCCAGCCACCCCACAATTCAGACTAAAAGAAATGAAATGGGGTTTAATGTCCTATTGGGTCTGCTCCGACTGAGCTAATAAAGACGGGCATACACCATACAGTTTGCTATATATTGAACTCCAATTGCCAAGGGATCTTTTATGTGCATGCCAATGTGTACATGGGACCTTGGTTTTTCATCCCATCCGAACGACTATACATTGTTCCTTGCCAGGCCCTCTGTCCTGCAACATTGGCAGAGGGGAATTTCGCTGGAAAATCCCGATGAATTTTCTTGGCCAAAGGGATCAAACATGGGACCTTCAGATTAGTCAGCCAACGTCTTATTACTGAGCTACCATGGCTCCCTGAGACTAAAAGGGTTAATATAGACTTTCAGAACATACACAACAAAAATAAGTAGTCTTCTAAAAGAATACTGATTCAGAAATTATTAAAATAAATCAATTGAAGCTTAAGTTATGGCCGTCTACATTTAAAATTCTCAGCATCATCATTTTGTCTCTTATCTACATATGACTATGAGAAAACTATCTAATCCAACAAACTTACTGATATTAGGTTTAGCTGCCCTCTGATAAAAATGTAATTCGCAAAATAATGGCCCATTTGCAACTGGTTCCTGAAAATAGACATCAATTACAAAATAACTTTAGGGTTAGGGTCGGCATTTTGTTACTCATAATTGAAGGTCACTGATATGTTGTATAGAAAATTTTGTGATGCCAATCGATGTTGTCTGACATCAGATACATGTATCTGGATGTAAACAAGTGATGGCCAGGTTCGTAAAATTGATCACTCATATTGTGGGCACCACAAAATTATTGAACGCTAAATTAATTGATTCAAATAGTTAAAAGGTAGAGAGAAATAGGGTTTAACGTCCACTCAACACAAACTAGGTCATTTTGGGACTAACATATGGTTATATTTTGTTTCATTAATTCGCTTGTGCGTAGGGGACTTTAGCAGTGGAAGAATGCAAGAGGACCCAGAGAAAACCCACCAGGTTGGACAGGCGACCCTACTCCTTGTCATGTACAACCGGGGCATTGAAACCACACCACATGAGTCAATGGCAAACCTTTTAAAGGATTTGGAACTGAATTGAATTGAATGGTTAACTTACAATTTTTACTACATATTCAGCATTAGCATTAACAACACTTCCTATTTTATCTGAGGCTGAAATTAAAGAATTATCATTTTGGTATTAATAATGAAATGAAATGGGGTTCTTTGATGTGCATGCCAATGTGTACACAAGACCTCAGTTGTTTGTTCCTTCTGAACGATTTGGAACTGTCCTTGACAGACTGTTTTGCATCACTGACATGGGTCAACCATGCTGAACAATCCCAAGGATCAAACCCAGGACCTCTATGTTAGTGAGCCAGTGCTTACCCACTGAGGTATTGCGACTCCCTATTATTTTGGTGACACATTAAATAGCCATCATGCAAGAGCTAAATACGTCCATTGCAGGTCTTTCTTTATGCCTTAAATGTTATATAAACTATTAGACATTTATCAACATGAGAAGACCATAATCAACTCTCGATGCCATTTTATATGTACGATTTTAAGTAGATTAAAACAGTTCGGCCATTTAATGATTTTAATTTAAAAATAATGAAGCAAGGCTTATCCTTGAACAACCAGTACAGTGGCTACAATCAGTGCACAAAACTTGTCAAACCTTCAAAGCCTAATATCTTCACTCAGAATAAAGTAATTTGAATGAAATTTTTAATATATTCATTTTGCATTATCTATTTTTAAACTATTATAGCCAGAACTAACAGCTCTTTATCTAAATCTTACATACATGTAATGCTTCTTTAATATGAGTTACAATACATAATGTAAACCTGAAGATATAAATAACAATCTCTGGAGGCTATTAATTACAAATTACTTATAGAATATCACCTTTATAAATTAAACCAAAACCTCCTTGACCAATCACATCTCCCAATCTCCATTCCTTCTTCATTGTGTCTTTCAATATTTCACCATTAGGAAAGGTTTCTGCTAATGCATGAGCTTTAGGGCCACGAGCCTTCTTTGCAGCTGAAATAACACAGACGGCAAGGCTTTAAAAAAGAAACTATGATTTTCTGTTGGCTACGTTTTGGTGTTCTCTTCATCGCCTTCACAGTTAAACCATCTTTTGGGAGTAGATGTGTTACTTATGTATATATAAATAAAAATGGCCTGAAGATGTTCAGTACGAACAGAAAGCGCTAGCCGTTAAATTAGTATTTTGGTGTCTTTCTTTAATATAGTTTATATATATATTCTATTAATTATAAATAAATATATGTATTGTCAACTTCCCACTTTGAAATAATAAATGGAAATTATTCTATGTGTAATTGAAAATATTACCTGGAGCAGCCTTACTTGCTGCCTTGGCTCTTGGCATCTTGATTTTCAAATCTAAAAAAGAGATATATAACATTTATATTCATTGTTACACCAATCTGGACCATTGACTATTTAAAATAAAAAACTAGGTAACAAATCATTTTGCCTTTGGCAACTATTTCTTTTCAAGAGACTGTAAAATAAAAAGTTTTTTTTTTTTAAAAATAGAATGAGGTTTAAGCTACAATGTCTCATCAACTCCAAACTTTGGTCAATTTTACCAAATAGATGGTTATTATTTCTTTATCAGTGATTACCAGTATGTGTGCAATGCAAAGTAGAAGAATTTTGTCCAGACAGCGGCATTTCCACATACTCGTCTTCGATAACCAACTACTGAATGGTTGTTTCCATAATGGTCAACTTTTTCAAAAACAATTTGAATAGTGCAGTCTGTTAGGCGAGTGTATAAATATTTCAAAATCTTATTTATATGATTAGATTTATTCATAAACTACACATGACCTATCCAACATACAACCCAGGTTTCGTCAAAATACAGCCACGCATATGACTATATAGGGCAGGTGTCCACAGCCTTGGGAATTTCATTGGGAGTGAGTTGGGACCTCAAGTCCTTGAGTTACGAGTCATTATTCAGCCACCTGTCAGTGCACTTTGAAGAGAGGTAGTAAGTTATAGATAGACGTCTTGTGTATCTAATGGTGAAAATACCCTAATGACCATACAAGTAAAGTAAATATAAATCAGACTACTTCAACTTCAAATGTAATACTACTTTTTAAGACGGTGCAGACATTGATCAAATATTTCATTAGGCTAGTGTTAACTGTTCATTGTCGTCAACAGTCATTAATAATTACTGTAATCAAGTCATTAATAATTACTGTAATCAAGTCATTAATAATTACTGTAATCAAGTCATTAATAATTACTGTAATCAACCATTAAAGATGCATTGTGTATGGTTTCTAAAAAGATCTGTCTATTCTTGCTATAATAGTTCGAATGGGAACTGAATATATTCTGAGTGAAGTTATCACTGTTTGAAGAAGTAGCGCACATCTTTTACTATTGTAACAAAAGAAGAGTACTTGACAACCAAGAGAGAGAGAGGGTTTAACTTCCAATCGACACAAACTAGGTTATTTCGGAACTAACATATGGTTAAATTTTATTTCAGATCGGCAAATTACCAAGGAAAGAGAGAAATGGGGTTTAACGTCCACTCAACACAAACTAGGTCATTTCAGGACTACCATATGGTTCAATTCTATCTAAATAATTTGCTTGCATGTGGGAGGAAACCGGAGGACCCAGAGAAAACTCATGAGGTTGTACCAGACGACTCTACTCCTTGTCACGTACAAGTGGGGAATTGAAACCACACCACTTGACTCAATGGCAGACCTTGTGATCTAACGTGCTGGCTTTACACAATTCAGCCACCCACCCCCGTTCGTCAATCAGGGACGTATACTGTGTAATATAATTCCAACGGTACGTACCTCCGGGCGTTTTCTGTGTATCGGAGCTGCAGAATTTTAAAACATGAACTACACTGGTTTTAAATTTATTCAAAATGTTGGTACGATGGCTGGTCTCGTAACGCATCCCTAATCGCAACACTGATGTACATGATCGCAGGACAGTAAGCATTTATCCAGGGAGCTATGAGATTAAAGAGGCATTATGAGAGAACTAATTTGTCTATTGCCGGGCGTTTATCGAGTCAGCTATCAAATTAAAGAGGCATTATGTGAAAGTTAATTTGCTTATTGCCGAGCATTTTTCTGGCTTCAAATGTTATATATAAGATACTTGGTGTTAAGTACATACATGTAAAATAGACATCAGAGCAAGCTATTTTCCCCTGTACCTACCCTCATATTTTGGGGACTTCCTAAAGAGATATTATGTGAGATTAGATAAAGAGCTGGCAGTTCTCACTATTATAATAGTTAAAAACTAGATAATGTAAACTGAATTTGCTGAAAATTTCAGTCAAATTGATCCACTGTGAACCGAGAATTTAGCAACTGAATTTTCGGCCTAGCCTCGATCATCATTATATAGTCCCGATTATCCATTTCATGATTAAATCATGAATGAAAGTTGAGCAACAAAGTGGATCATAATCCAATAAATATCGCAGGCTAGCAATGACATCGAGAGTTGATTATGGTCTAAATAAGTAAATTAATGTCTAATTAATAATTTAGATAACATTTCAGGCCTAAAGAAAAACCTGAAATAGGCAGATTTAACTCTTACATAATGTATGTTTAAGAGATTTTTAATCTCTTTTATAAACTACAATATTGTGAAAGTTGAATCTCTTGAAAGAATATCAGTCGAAAATGTACAATTCCAATCAGTATTTGAAAAGATATTTTAAATTGAGAGAGAGAGAGAAATGGGGTTTAACGTCCACTCGACACAAACTAGGTCATTTCGGGACTAACATATGGTTTAATTTTATTTCAATAATTCGCTTGCGCATAGAGGTCTTTAGCAGTGGGAGGAACTGGAGGATCCGGAGAAAAGCCACAAGGTTGGACAGGCAACCCTACTCCTTGTCAAGTACAACCAGGGATTTATTCTAAATTGAAAATTTGTCAACATTCAGACATCCTCTGCAGATGTTATAAATTATAAATGAGAAATGGTCAACAAGCCAGAGGTACCTATAATCTTGACTAAAATTAGAATCCTAACCGGGAGATTACCTACTGCTGATATTTTGATTTATTTACTTAAAGGGGCATTATGTAACATTTAGATAAAGAGATGGCTGTTCTTGCTATGTTTCAAAAATAGATAATGCAAATTTAATATAGTGAATATTTCATTCAAATTACTTTCTTTTGAGCAAAGTTATTAATAGCTATAGTTTTGACAAGATTTGAGCGTTGATCGTAACAACCGTACTGGTAATACGAGTCTTAGCCTAGTGACTCTATTTTTAAATTAAATCATTAAATGGCCAAACTGTTTTAATCTACTGAAGATCAGGCCCATCTGATGGCAATGGAAGTTGATTATAGTTTTCTCATGTTAATAAATGTTTAATTAATAGTTTATATAACATTTACCGGTAAGGCCTAAAGAAAGACCTGCAATAGGCAGATTTAGCTATTACATAATGCCTGTTTAATTAAATGTAAAATGATCCATTTGGTTACATATTAGGGTGGAGTAAGCCATGAAAAGTTAGATATTATACCAAAAACTGCAAATGAGATCAGTGGCTTTAATTAAAGATATCATATTTACACAACTGGTGTTGAATAGACTGGGGCAACTTTGATAGAGTAAAAACAAATCATTCAAGGTTTTGGAAAGTTACCATTGTGCTCTGCTACTTAAGCAACCAACCTTGTAAAAACGATTTTACAAACCTATCAGAGTGTTTGATAACATACCCAAGAGAAATATATGATATGTCAAAGTTGGGTGACCTGACAGCGGAAAAGAGCTGTATGTGGTGAATAAATAATCTGGTGATGTGTGGAACAATCTAAGCCCCTTGGACAATTCATATAAGGACACTATATCGTTACCAGAATGAACCAATCAATATGACAGCCTGATCATATTGCAAAACCAGAAAACCATAATTTAATCCATCAAAAATTCAAAAACACAATTCACAAAGGCTAGCACCATGTGACAACCTGAAGAATAATATTTATAAGAAACCTGCAGTCTGAATTTATGACCAATGACCATTGGTATCACATAGGGATCGGCAAGAGAGAGAGAGAGAGAGAGTTTAAGTCCACTTGACACAAACTATTCAATAATTCACTTGCGCGTAGGGGTCTTTAGCAGTGGGACAGGCGACCCTACCCATTATTACAACAACCGGGGAATCAAAACTACGCCAGTTGACTCAATTACAGAGCGCACCTGCTAACCATTCCACCATCCAACCGCCCTACATTGGGAAGGGGAAAGAAAGAATAGTAAGACTGTAAAGTGTAATTGACGGAAATCTACGGTACTGTGAAGGCCCAACTGATCACAAGGAACAGAAAGTACCAGAACAAAAGAAAAAGTGTTATGTGTATTATTACCTGGGAAAAACAACCATCAAAAAATAGTAGACCAATGTACAAAAGTTGGCCTATATTTGTGGTAAATAAGCTTAGCCTGAATTTCAAACTTTAGGTTAGTAAATAAAGTACATTATTATTTTGTCAATGATTTTGAAATACGGATTAAATATTTCCCAGTCCCAGATAACGAAGAAAGGACAGCCAGTAACAAAGCAAATCAAAGACAGGGCGTGGTGCATAGTTATTATTAATTCCTCTAGGAAGAGTCTGATTTGACACTGTCCTTTGACAGTACCTGTTTATGAGCTGCATTATGAAAATACCGCTCTACTCCCACAGCATTCTAAAGCTATTTTGGAACTCTTACCGTCAAACGGGGTGAAGTTGGCCTACGGGGTGAAGTTGGCCATTTTCGGTATATTTCTTTTCGGTTCTTTTTTTTCTCGCCAATCCAGAATTTTAATCTACTCAAGGTTATTTAGTACAAGATTACAGTGGAAGTTTGCTGTGTACCAATTTTGAAATTTATTCTACAATTTGGGTAAGATTTATGTTTAGTTAAGAAAATGATTTAAAAAAGTGGATTTATGTGGACAGATTATAATTAGACCTAGGGATAATAATAAAAGCCAGTGCTTTAGCTTGAATGCACAGTTTGTATCATGGGTCCAATGCCTGAACAAACAAGAGTTATGTTGTGACTGACTAGGCCAAGGTCAAGGACACGTGGGTCATTTAGTGCAACAGGGTGAAGTTGGCCACAAATTGGGGTGAAGTTGGCCACCCTTGGCGACCTGGCCAACTTCACCCCAATACATAATTTATGTATAAATTTTGAGTTTTCTTATATCAGATTTCTCTCATGTGTGCTGTACATGTGTAATCTCCATTTTTTTTCTTTTCAGAAATGCCCCGACGATATACCCCAAAACCAGAAAGTCGGAAGCTCTGCCAATATTCCGCCGAGAGCCTTCAAACAGCAATTGTAGCCTGTGAGAGGGGGATTCTCAGCCAGAGAAAGGCTTGTGAGCAATTCGGAATACCAAGAGGCACACTTCAGAATCGACTTGCTGGTAGGTTCAATAAGCAACATGGTGGACAGACTGTCTTCGACTCCGAAGAAGAACTAATATTTGCTGAATATCTAACTTTGTTGTCCACATGGGGATTCCCCTTAGATGCATTTGATTTCCGTTGCATTGTAAAGTCATATCTTGATAAATGTAAGAGAACTGAGAAGAGGTTTAAGAACAACTTGCCGAGCAGTGACTGGGTGAATTGCTTTGTGAAACGTCACAAAGGCAGGCTTACTTCTCGATTTTGCCAAAATATAAAAGTTAAGCGAGCAGAGGTGTCGGCAGAGTCATTAAATCAATATTTCGACAATCTTGAGGCTAGTTTAGCTGATGTTCCAAGTAGTAATATTCTGAATTATGATGAAACGAATCTGACAGATGACCCTGGAAAAAAAAAATGTATATTTCGTAGAGGATCCAAATATCCTGAAAGGATTATGAATTCAACAAAATCCTCGACGTCACTTATGTTTACTGCCACTGCCTCTGGTAGATTACTTCCACTATATGTTGTTTATAGATCCAAGCATCTGATGAACACTTGGACAGAATCAGGTCCAAAAAATGCCAGATATAACCGGTCCAAGTCTGGATGGTTTGATAATGTCTGTTTTACAGATTGGTTTAAAAGTGTTGTCCTGCCATGGGCACAGGATCTTCCAGGGAAAAAAGTTGTTCTTGGGGATAATTTGTCATCCCATTTTTCAGTTGAAGTTTTAAAACTTTGTAAAGAACATAACATTGAGTTCATTTGTTTCCCAGCTAATAGTACTCACCTGTGTCAGCCACTAGATGTGAGTGTCTTTTCATCTGTCAAGGTTGCATGGAGGTCAATTCTCACTGAATGGAAGGAAGGGCCTGGACGTAAGGCTGCATGTATAACAAAAGACGTTTTTCCCAGACTTCTAAAGAAACTAGTTGACAGAAACACTACCATGTCATCCAATATCATTAGTGGATTCAAAAAAACTGGCATCTTCCCACTTAACAGAGAAGAAGTAATTGACAGACTACCAAATACAACCAATAATACTGTTCGTGTTGATATTTTTTCTGATGTATTCCTTAATTCATTAGATAATCTTCGTTACAGCCAAGAAACACCTACTATTCGCCGAAAACGTGTATCCGTTGAACCTGGAAAGAGTATATCGGCTGATGATCTGGAAACTGGTGGTCCATCATCAAGCAAATGTAAGAAAACAAAGGATGTTTTAGAAGAACCTGCATCCAGTAATCTTGAATCCTCTGATGACGAATCATCTTGTTCTAGTCTATCGTCAAATGATTCTGTCGCTCCTGATGATAATTTTGAGGTCGCTGTTGGCAAATGGGTCATCGTTCGATATCTTGTTAAATCCCGATGTATCCATTACATTGGTCGTATTATTGATACCACTTTATCAGATGATGACGAATCCAGAGAAAATGAAATTCTGTTTTATGTTATAAGCTTCCTGCGAAAGTCAAAGAGAGTTGCGAATACCTTTGTGCCACCAATAAAAGAAGACATTGATACTATTAAGTGGGCTGATATCCTTAAAGTGTTGCCATTCCCAACCATATCAAAAAGAAATCACCATAAATTTCAAGTTAATTTTGATGGATATAATTTACAATGAAGACGTTTTACTTGTTTTAATCGCACTGTTACAGTCATTTTACATTTAAATTATATAATAATATATTAATTTTAATCTACCAAAGTGCTAACAATGAAATATGTAACAATTCAATTTTTATTCAGATTTTATCAACATTATTTTTTAAATACCAAAGTGCCAAAAATGAAATAATATGTAACAAATTTATTTTTTTGTTTATGAAAAATGTTTAATTTTATTAAAAGTTATTGAAACAGTTTTCTTTTGTATTCAAATCCGGAAATATAGATAACAAGGTCGGTCATTGAATCGATTGGCACGTATTCTAACTAACTCGAGCTGGTACATGAAAATAAGTAAGTCCAGGGTTGCCATTTGTTAGTCCCCAAATAACATGGTTTGTATCAAGTGGACTTTACAATTTCTTTCATGCACGCCCACATAACCTTCATCAAAAACTGCAGGGTTAGAGTCCGGCCAAGTTCACCCCATGGTGTGGGGTCAACTTGGCCACATACATTTTTCCATATTCTGAAAATTTGGAATATAACAGTCTTATAAGTAACTGTTACATTCCATTAACTAATCAGTCTATAAGCTTACAGGTAATTATTTCCAGACTGGTATGAGCAATAATCAGAATATATTTGAAAAACTAAAAAAAATGGCCAACTTCACCCCGTTTGACGGTACCTTACAATTCATTATTCACTGTGATTCTTCTTTGTTCGTCAAAAGGAATCATTTCTCGCCATACCGTACCTCACACAAATTTATAATAATTCAAAAATATTTTCAAGTACAATTTTGTGATTAAAAAAACATGAACAAAATATGATTGAACTAATCTGCTATTTACTTGAAAATAGTGTTGAATTATTATAAATTTGTGTCAGATGTGGCGAGAAATGGTTCCTTTTGGCGGAAAAAGAAGAATAATGGTGACAAGTAGAAGGTAAGGATTCCAAAATTGCCTTAGATCAGAGGTTGGGGTAGAGCAGTATTTTAATATTGCTACTTATTACTATCTGGACGAACAGGAATGGTCAGAGTAACTTAGAGGACAGTGTCCCACCATCATTCCTAAAGCCTTTAGTAAAGCCAAGTAAGGCTGTTAAAGTCGTTTTCGAAAATTGTCTGGACTGGGCTGAAACTGAACTAACCAAAGAAAGACTCTGAGTCTGAAAAAGAGTTTAGGAGACAAGGTTTCCTTTATTTTTTTTACCTATCGGAGGCCTATCCTAGATTCCTCCTAAGTTTCTACTTCTACTCTACTAGTGAACCAGTAGGCCTATATTGCTGCACAACACTAGATCTTTGTACGATCTGGAAAATATCTTTCAGCTTTGAGTAAGTCTGGGTATTAATACAGAAACAGAAACAGGAAGGGTTCGGCGTTAGGTTTACAAATTGAAGCTGTAAAAACGATGGATTGTGCTTGGTAGAGACTCTCAGTTTTATGCTTTTAAATTAATTTTATAAACTACAATTTAAAAATCAAGTAGTCAAAATTATATCCTACAATTTTAGATTGTTTGAGAATTGAAAATACTATTTCCCTGGAAAATTTCGTTGAAACTTTTCTGACTGTTTTCCTTTGAAACTTCCGCCAATGAATCATGCAGGAGTGTTTCCGGTTTGACGGATTGACTAATAAATTTGAAATTTAAAAATAATGAGGATTATTCCATCTTCCCCTAAAGGCGCCTACTTTTATCAATAAATTCAATGCAATTAATTTTCTTGTATGTTACATTAATATGTTTTGAGGTAAAATGATTGCGAATTCGGAAAAGCAAAATGCTGAGCTTGAAAAACAAGTGATTTATATTCTGTATGTCAATCCGGTAAATCTTTCTCCCGCGATACGAAAACGGAAGTAGAATTAAAAATGTGTTTTATTTTTTTTTAACAAGCAATCGGATTAGATTATTTATTTTAAAAGATCACAATCAAATACGTTTTCCATTTAATCGTTGAAGATGACCCAAACTAAAAAGTGTAAGTCAATTATTCACGGAGCTGACTCGTTTGACACGCTGAAGAAAATTCTACGAAATAATTTGAAAATGCAATGCTAACGGTATAACATTTTTATCGTACCATAATTACATCAAGTACTAAAACCTAACGTCGGTACCATGGCAGGGTATGAAATAAGCCTCTTATATGGTAACCTCAAAATAGGTTACGCTAATCTGCATCAAATTTGAACTGGTAACCTATAGGTTACGATGCCATATTTGTTTAGAGCCGACCCTCGAATTAGCCTAGGGGGATTTGGGGCCAATTAAAAGATTAGCCAGCTACCCCTAAGCTTATTAAATCAGCAGGGCCCATATCCCTAAGCGAATTAGTGGATTATTGTTAATCCTAAAACTCTCTACAAAATTGCAAATAACTAAAAAAAAAAATTTTTTATACAAAAATGTACAGATTGTCGTGTTCTTTCCAATGATATAAAATTCAATTGTACAAACTAACAATTACCGGTATATTACTATAAATAATATTGAAAAGACAGTTCCACTAAAATTATGACTTTTCTCTGTCATAATAAACGTGAACATGTATCTCCTAAGATTTTATTTTAAAAAAAAGAACAGTGTTCAAAGTAAATATAAATATATAACTTTTAGAAAGAAATATCGCCCCAAATGACCGTCACTTCATCGCTATGTGACATTTCTGCCTTTGTTGGATATATGGTGGGAATTGTCGTCTTCTTTGCTTTATTGAATCGAAAATAAAAATATATAGTTGAAATCTTCGGCAATGTAATATTCCTCTATGTAGCTTGTATTAAATCCTAAAAGTTTTGATTCAATTTAGCTTTCCAAACTAGAATTATTATCCGTAAGTTTTGTGGTATCGTCTGTCTGGAAACGTATCCAAGATATGGCGGCCGACACGCTTGATCTCGGCTGCTTCGCATCATTCATAACGTCCCCCAAAAATAACAAATAGTTGATTTCTTCGACATTATCATGTTCTACAATATGCCTGGCAGTAAATCATAAAAAATCTGATTCCATTTCACTTTCCATGTCATAAAATTATTAGCCGTGAGTGTGAGTGACAACGTGAAAATATTGGAATAATGCCAAAGTCATTGACACGGTGTGAATTTTCACCTCTGACCTATTACGTAAATACCGGAAGATCCATTGTTGAAAAGTATGTTTTTTATTTGATAATTTGCGAATATAACATTCCTTTTCATTGGGTGTTTTATTTTTATTACTCAATCACCATTAATTTAAGAAATAAAAACAATAGAAATCAGTTGATTGATCTGGCGCTTTCGTTCGCTAAATGCTAATGAGTATGACGTTGCCAGGTATGATGGGTCCGCGAGTTGATTTACTACCGCCAAAATGACAGGTGCGAACTTAACGATCTTTCAGGCATTTATTTATAATTGTAAAATGTTTTAATGTAGTAGTGGAGGGAATATTTTAACTGAAACCTTTAGTTTATAAATTATAGCTCGGTGGTCGAGAACGGAAGTCCGTTCGCGTGTTTCCAGGTCATGGTAACCGATGCGTAACCTGAACGACCGTTCGCGTGTTATTTCGTACCCTGCATGGGTAGTCAAAAGGTGGTATCTGGGTTTTGCAAAATTTTCCAGGAGAGCGCAACATCGCATAGAAGTTAAGAATCAAAATGTCATACAGAAACTCAGGACTATGTAAATTCAAAGTTGCCGTAGTTATAGGCCCTATTTCTAAAGTGTTTCTCAAATATTTCTGTAAAAAATGTATGGTATGTGTAACCCGTTAATAGCTTAAAACAGTATGCACTTATGTAGCTAACCGCAAATATCGGGCTAAACACCTAGTGCAGAAATGCGAAGTGAAAGCTAGTTATTTCAATATTTGCCATTTTCTTACAGCTGAGCAAAGACGTAGCCTACATGTATCTCGTGATTAAATTAACCTTTAGTTGCTTCAATTTCATAGATTTGACTTAGTAGAGGCTCAACAATATTTTCATTTATACATAACTAACCATAAAACAATACTAGCTATATTTCGTTTGATTTTTTCAAGGAAATACAACATTTTCGCACATAATATTGATATATTTTTGTAACACCACGGCCATAGGCCTATACAACATTTTGACTCCCCACAGATGATAAACACATTTTTCATCTAAATGAAGCCTGTGCCGGTAGATGTTTATAGCTTCAATTCGCATATATCTTGGATGATAGCTAGCTTAAATTAGATAATTAGATTCCATACAATGTAATTGTTGACATAGTTATTGTCCCTGACTTGCAGAAAATACATAAGAAATAAACTTCCTCCTTCATATGAATGCATGACTAGTTGATAGACCACTCGGCCTAATGGTTTTGCAATAATAAAGTGTTGTTTTAATTCTTCCGTTTCACGCAATTAATCGGCAAAATTTGCTGGTGGCCTTAATATGTAGACCTAACCTTAGAAAATTACTGCATGTAAATATGTGTGTAGGAAATACTGTCCAGGCCATTTAGAATTTTAATTCTATAATTTGCTTTTTTCTATTGAAGAAATGGTACTCAGCCCACTTGTCAAGAAATAAACATTAAAGATGTATAGTCGACTCTCAAATACAATGACCCCAGCTCAGAAGCTGGAGTTATTGAAAAAAGAAATGATCAGACTTGCCACGGAGAAAGAAACACCACAGACAAAGAACAGAAATATCGAAATTGAGAATGAGTTTTCTAAACTTCGCCAAGGCATTTTAGATCTGGGAAATGCTTTGAGTGTAACGGAGAATAGTTCAACGAAAACAGCACAAGCTGGTAGTGGTAGTAAACCAGTGGTTGTGACTCCGAGAAGAATTGTAAAGGCAAAGACAAATAAATCACCTGTTGCTCCTGCTTTTAGTCCTGTAAGTATTATTAACTAAAGAGCACATCAGATCTATTTGACATGGCCACCTGCAGATTTCGTCATACATGTAGGTTACAAGATGTAAACAGGGCTAGCGCTAACCCTAACCCTAAACCTAGCCTTACCCTAACCCTAACCCACTATCCTCGGCAACAATAGCATGCCCTAAGCCTGTTTATATCTTGTGACCTTGCCGAAATCTGCAGGTGGTATGTGAAATAGATTTAACCCACATCAATTTGACTTTAAGAATCTGCTTGCTCGCTATCTCAGGTTACTTTCAGGGCTGGTCTAGAAAGTTCCTCAAGATTTTATGGTGGACTTCACCTTGTCAGTGGTGCAGGATGAAAGGCCTGGCAAAGACAGAACTAAAAAAAAAGACTCCATGACAGTTGGATTTCGAAAAAAAAAATGGCCATAGCACTGCTGTCAGGGCAAAATGTCTCTCATAGCACAGTGTAAAGTGTACATGTATGTCCGTCTTCATTAGCCCAGTCGGAGCAGAGCAGTAGGACGTTAAACCAAATTTCATTTCGTTTCTTAATGGTCAAGTCTTAATATGACCGAAGACCAATAAACCGTTTCCTTATTAGAAGACAATTCTGGAAGGTGAAATGAAATAGGGTTTAACATCCTACTGTTCTGCACCAACCGGGATAATGAAGACTGAGACTGACATACACCATACAATGTACTATGAGGGGAATTTTTCCAGGACAGCAATGTTTCCTCTTGCCCTTCATCGAATTCCAACTGTCAAGGACTCATTTGTATGCACGCCAGGTCATCTGTTCTCCACCACTGACAAATGGAATCCATGCTGGAAAATCAGGGAGACATTCTCTTGCAACGCTGTGTTTGAACCCTGGATGTCCTGATTAGTGGGGAGCCACGGTTGCTAAGTGAGGAAGCCTCTCGATTGCTAGCTTGAAGGTTGCGGGTTCGATCCCGGTGTTGGCTGAGAAAGTTCATCAGGATTTTCCGACGTGGTTTCCCCTTGTTAGTGGTGCAGGACAGAGGGCCTGACAAGAACAGGCCTCGAGTTCACAAAACATTCTCAGACTTAAGTTAAGAATTTACTCAAAATTGTTCGCCTTATTTTAACTAAACTATAGCTCTTTATACAACCTTTGTTGTTTTATTGTATCAAATACATCAATAAGAAACTGTGCGAAGTTTTGTTTTTCTGCACCAAAGATATTTCTCATAAACACTGACTGAAAGTTGAGTAAATTCTGAGAATGCTTTGTGAACTTGGCCCCAGATGTCTAGTTGTTCAGATGGATGAAAAACCGAGGTCCTGTGTACACATTAGCATGCATGTAAAAGATCCTTTGGCAGTGGGGAAAATTACTTTCAAAGCACCCTGCATGGCGTATGCCCGTATTCATTAGCCCTCTCTGTATTTTTGCTCTGGTTGAATTCAAATTCATAACTATAATTTATCATCTCTTTTTCAGACACGGTTTGTCAGAAGATTTGGTGAACCCGAGGAAGATGAAAAACCTAAAATTTTAACACCAACAGCCAGGACGATTATGGCCAGGATGGAAGCTAAAAAAGCAGAAAAGAATCCAGCAAAACAAACTAAAGTATCAACATTTTTGGAAAGAAAGAACGTTAGCCCTAATTTGACCAGAATGGATATGCCATCTGATGTAGCATTGTTAAATTCAAATGAAAATACATCAAAAACAAGGGTGACTGTCACAGAGCAAACAACGTTTACAAATTTTGAAACAAGACAAGACTATTCCCAATCATCTTCAAGTTTCAAAACAAATATACATAGCCCATCCCTTTCTAACGTTGAAATGAAGTCAGACAGGTTGAAAACAGAAAAATTAACTCCTGCTGCTCGTGCTATAAGGGATAAAATGGAAGCAAAAGCAGACGCTAAAAAGAAATCTCCTTCATTACCAACAACACCCACCACTTCACGAAAAGACCTTGGAACTTCGGAAGTCATGACTCCAACAGCCAGGGCAACGAAAGCTACTTTAGAGGCCGAAAAACGTGAACAGATGAAAAGAGATGAGGATAAGAAAAAGAGACAAGAAAAATCACAAAGTCCAGTAAAGATCATACAAGTTCAATCACCCAAGCATGAAGACCCTGGAACTTCAGAAGTCCTAACCCCGACAGCCCGGGCTATGAAAGCTACTTTAGAGGCCAAAAAAAGTGAACAGATGAAAAGAGATGAGGATAAGAAAAAAAGACAAAAAAAATCATCCAGTCCAGTAAAGATCATACGAGTTCAATCACCCAAGCAAGAAGGTCCTCAAGTTTTGACACCAACCATGCGAGCCATACAAGAAACTATGGAAGCCAAAAAACGAAAAGAAAAATCATCTAGTCCTGTTAAGATTATACAAGTTCAGTCACCCAAGCATGAAGGTTCTCAAGTGTTAACACCGGCCATGCGAGCATTACAAGAAAGTATGGAAGCCAAAAAAGAAAAAGAAAAATCACCTAGTCACGTTCAGTCATCCAAACAAGAAGGTTCTCAAGCGTTAAGACCAACCAAGTCTGCATTACAAAAAGAAAAAGCCTCTAGTACTGTTAAGATCATGCAACATTCATCGCCAAAGCAAGAAGAAAACAAAAGTGCACAAATCTTGACTCCAACTGCTCGAGCTGTACAAGAAAGTATGGAGGCTAAGAGAAAGGAGTCTCCTAGTCCTAAAATACTTAAACCAACATTTTCCCTGACAGAAAGGCAAATCTCTCCAGCAATATCAACCCCAGCATCATTACCAGAAACTCCCAAATCTAAAACTTCTAAAATCTTGAAACCGGTGAAGAAACAAGTGGAGGTTATTGAAACGACAACAATAGTCACTCAGACGTATTCCACAACAGGTTCATTACCTGATACTCCAAAATCAGCATCAACTAAAGTCAAGTCCTTTGAAGCATTAGGTAGATCGCTATCTCAGAGATCAACAGGTGTTTCATTAGATAAATCACCAGACACTCCTAGATCAAAGGCTGTCCATTTTGCAAAGGTTGAGTCCATCTCATTAGATAAGCCTTTTGTTTCAGATAAAGTTCTTACTCCTGAAGCTGTTCGTGGGATTATTAAACCAGCCCGATTAACTCGTAGAGCTCTGCATCCAGAAGCAGAATCACCCAAACCAAGAATGTCTCGTCGAAATCTTGTAAAATTTGGAGAGAATACAATACATTCTGATAATGTGACTAGCGAAGATGATATTGAGGATGATGGTGATGATGATTATGATGATAATGATGAAGCATCCGCAATTTCCCAGATATCTGAGAGTAACAATAATAACTTTAATAAAGTGTCTCAAAGAGGCAAAAAGAGACAAATGAGCAGTAGTGATGAGAATGATAGTGATAATGGTGATGACGCAGATGGCAATGAACCTTCAACACCAATAGTTTCTTGTTCTAAGCGCAGAAGAACCTACGTTACAACTCCTCATCCAGTGAAAAGAAAAGGACAATCTTTGGTGTGTTGTGATCTTTAATGGTTTCCTAATGTTAACAATAATCAAAGATAGTTAAACATATATTATGCAAGAGCTAAATCTGCCCATTGCAGGTCTTTCTTTAGGCCTGAAATGTTATCTAAATTATTAATCAGACATTAATTAACCTATCCAGACCATAATCAACTCCCGATGTCAATGCTAGCCTGCAATATTTATTGGATTATGATCCGATTTGCTGTTTAACTTTCATTCATGATTTAATCATGATCTAGATAATCGAGACTATGTTTTTTATCGTACCAACTTAAGTAATGATGATCAAGGCTAGGCCGAAATTTCAATCGCTTAATTCTCGGTTCATAGTGGATCAATTTGACTGAAATTTTCAGAAAATTGCCTTTACATTATCTAGTTTTTAACTATTATAGTGAGAACTGCCAGCTCTTTATCTAATCTCCCAAATAGTTTTAATGAATCTTATTTAAAAAATACGTGGACAGGTTTTTTTGAAAGACATCTGGATTGTATCTTAATTTCATGTAAAACCGTAGATGTATTGCTTTTAAAGGTGTTGATAATTGAATTGAAATTTTATTTTCAGAGAGCAACAGTTGAAGAAGAAGAAGCAGAGAAAGATGAAAAAGAAGATTCTGAAGAAGAAGATGATAATGATGGTAATGATGCCATTGAAGTTAGTAAACCAACCAGAAAGAGAGCAGTCAGAAAATCACCAAAAACCACCAGAAGCAGACGAATATCTGCACAGACAAAACCGGTTTGTACTTGTTGTAATTACTATATAATACTGAGGTTTTAAACTACAGTAGTTAAATAATCATTCCATTCATTATAACAGATCATCTTTGAATTAGAGGTTAGAAAGTAAGATAACAACTGCATAATCAAATTTCATCATGGCTAGGTTAAGATTTATTATGTTTCCGTGAATAAGAAATGAAATGAAATGGATTTTAACGTCCTACTGTTTTGCTCAGAACTGGGCTAACGAAGACGGGCATATATCATACAGTGTGCTATGAGGGAAATTTTGGACGTTAAACCCTATTTTTCTCTCTATATTTTTATACATATTTTAATTTATTTTATTGTTATTTTTACTGGTAGGTAAAGAAGACGACGGTAAAGAGCAAGAAAAGTGATGAATCTAATAATGATGATACTGATAATACAGTTGATGCATCAGTAAATAAAAAGAAATCTACGGTAACTAAGAAAAGGGTAAGAGAATTTATTGTATTGTGGTTTTTCTGATTAGATTCAAGCCTTTTCTCTTATCCAAGTTTTAAGTCAAATATACTTTTAGCTTTGGTGTCCAAGTGATGTTAATGTCTGTGCTGTAGATCAAAATGTCAAATTGTCAGACACCCTTTCCCACACTTTATAGAGTCTCTCTGTGTTCTCCGATTTCTGCCTACTGTAAAAGTTCCTTGCAGGTTTTTCTTTATGTGTAAATAATGTAATTACATAATACATTCCCAAAAATATGTAATTGTCAATTAGATTTCAGTTACTTTATGTTTTGATTGATATGCATTAGGCATATTATGTTTATTTCTTGAGGCCAGGGAGCAGTATTTTTGTGCTGTTTTGAAATTCAGTTAAACAAATCATTGTATAAAAAACATAAACTGATGTAGGGTTAAAGATGCATTACATGTATGTAAAGAGCTAAATTTGCCTATTGCAGGTCTTTATTCTAGCTTCAAATATTTATTAACATGACAAGCTGATAACCAACTCTCTGGGCCATCAGATGGCTCTGATTTTAACTGAAATTTTCAATATATTTTATCATCATCTTTTTTTAAACTATTATTTAAATCTTACATAATGCTCCGACTGCTCTAATGAAGAAAAGCATTGGCTACACAGTGTGCCATGAGGGAAATTTGGCCTGGACAGCAGCACTACGGCCTACTCTTATATCGAATTCCTACTGTCAAGGGATCTGTGCCATGATGGAAATTTGGCCCGGACAGCAGCACTACGGCCTACTCCAATATTGAATTCCAACTGTCAAGAGATCTTTTACATGCACACCATTGTGTACACAGGACATTGGTTTTTCATTCCATCTGAACGACTAGACAGCAGCCCTCCATCCTGCACCACTGACAAGGGGAAACCACGCCGGAAAATCTTGATGAACTTTCTCGGCCAACACCAGGAGCAAACCCGAGACATCCAGGCTAGCAATCCAGCGACTTAGCCACTGTGGCTTCAATATTCAGGCATGATTTTTTTCCCGTTTTCTTAATGGATTTCCACTATTACAGTCTTTCACTGGTCGTTCTCGTGATTCGTCTGAATTTGTAATAAAAAAATGAGGGGGGGGGGGATACATGTCGACCAAGTCTTGAGAGGGAGAACAGTCTAAAGTTCATTAAAAACTCAGGCCATCACCTCGAACCCGTTGTTAAAAGTAAACACAGTTTTGCTTCATATTACTGTTTAATTAAACTATCAGACCTAAATATTGTTAATGAGATTGTTTATTTGATTATTTTCTATCAATAGAAAGCTACTGAGGATAGTACTGAAGAGAGTGAAATAAAAGATGATAACGAACCAGTTATATCAACCAGAAAAAGACGTTCATCTATTCAACCAGAAAAGGTAAATACAATATTACAACACATGTTTCTCTCCTTAATTCATTTTGACCTCCTTTTAGGTCATATTTATATTAAGCTCTATTTTAAAAGATATTTGTATTCATGGTTACAGTTAACAGTCTCAAAAAAAAAGTGGCATGAATCAACCAATTTGAATAGATAATGTTGTCCCTTTAATGTAATATTTATTAAAGATTTAGATAAAGAACTTACAGTTCTTGCTATAGTAATTCAAAAATGGATAATGCAAAATTAATATATTGAAAATTTCATTCAAATTATTTTATTCTGAACGAAGTTATCAGAGTTTGTAGTTTTAACAAGATGTGTGTATTGACTGTTTATTATCATAACCACAGTACTTGTCATTCGAGACTGAGCCTTGCTTCTACATTTTTAAATTAAATCATTAAATGGCCGAAGCATTCTAATCTACTTAAAATCAGAGCCATCCGATGACCTAGAGAGTTGACTACTATAGGCTTGCCATGTTAATAAATGTTTAAATAATAGTTTACATAAAATTTGAAGCCAAAATAAAGACCTGCAATTGGTAGATTTAGCTCTTTCATAATGTATGTTTAAATATTTAATAGAAATCAATAAGAATGATTGCTGATGTTCATGTGATATTTTTTGATTATTTAATAGAAATCAATAGGAATGAGTGTTGATGCTTATGAAATATTTATTAATTATTTAATAGAAATCAATGAGAATGAGTGATGATACGAATGAAGAAAGTGAAGATTCTGTACAAGCTACACCAACTAAATGTAGAAGATCTTCTCTTACACCTAGTTCCGTATGTATATATATAATATCATCTGTCATGGAGTGAGGGGTTGGATGGCCGAATGGTTAGCATGTGTGCGCTGTATCATATGGTCTGTCATTGAGTCAACTGACGTGGTTTCGATTCCCCGGTTGTACGTGACAAGGATTAGGGTCTTCTGACCAACCTCGTGGGTTTTCTCTGGGTACTCTGGTTTCCTCCCATTGCTAAAGACCCCTACGCGCAAGCGAATTATAGAAATAAAATTGAACCATATGTTAGTCCCGAAATGACCTAGTTTGTGTCAGGTGGACATTAAACCCCATCTCTCTCCTCCCTCTCTCTCTCTCTCTCTTACTAACATACAGAGGCTGAAATTTGGTGTATAGGGGTATGTCAGACTGGGGAGTAACATAGGCCAGGTGGCGTTGGCCTACTGTTTCCGTAGTTACAGGCACAACCTGGGCAGCGCTGGGTTATCCACTAGTAACTTATAAAACTCTTTTTCTATTGGAAGCCGAGGTGGCTCTGTGAGTAAGACGTTGGTTCGCTAACATGGAGGTCCTGTGTTCAATCCTGGTATTGACCAAGAAAGTTCATTCAGATTTTCAGGTGTGATTTTCCCCCTTGTCAGTTATGAAGGACGGATTGCCTGGCAAGGGACAATGTATAGTCGTACGGATGGGATGAAAAACAGAGGTCCCCTGTACACGTTGACGTGTGCGTAAATAAACCTTTGACAGTTGAAATTCGATATAAGAGTAGGCCGTAGCGCCACTGTCGAGGCAAATTTACCCTTATAGAACACTGTAAGGTGTATGCCCGTCTTCCCTCACCCTGTCAAAGCAGAACAGTAGGACGTTAAACCCCATTTCATTTCATTTTATTTCGTCATTCAAGAATGAACATTGTAAACTTGTGAATGTCGGGTTTTTTCCCAGATAATTTTGTATTGTTTATAATTTAAACAGAAAAGAAGCCGAAGTAGTAAAATTAGTGAAGAATCGAATGAAGACAGTGAAGATTCAGTTAAAAGTACACCATCTAGACGTAGACGATCATCAATATTATCAACTACTGTAAGTTGTTAAAAAGTTTAGATAATTAAATTTGGATCCAGAACTTTTCGATACAGCGCATCAATTGTGTGGAATACACTTCCAGAAAATATCCGACAATGTGATTCTGTGTCAGTTTTTAAATCAAAAGTGAAAACTTGGCTATTGATACATAAGACACTATCGTGCATTCCCTTGTGGATTGAATAGTTGCGCGATACAAATACCATTGTTATTACTTAATCTTGCAAAAGTCCTACAGTTTTACTAATTGTTGACAAACTTTAAGCACATCTACTGAAAATCATCTACTTGCGATTTCTAATTGTTTGGGGATCGTTAAAATGCTACATTTTTCATACAATTGAAATAGCTAGATACTATTCCCTTGTCAGTAGGACAGAACTGAGGGCCTGGCAAGGACAATGTCTCATATAAACATAGAAAAAACCCCTTGACTGTTGGAATTCAATATAAGAGTAGGCCGTAGAGCTGCTGTCTGGACAAAATTGACCTCATAGCACACTGTATGGAGTATGGCTGTCTTAATTAGCCCAGTTGGTGCAGAAAAGTAGGACATTAAACTTTGGTTAAACCCAATGTCATTTCCTTTTCAATATACTTTTTTTATAATGAATTTCAATAATTTTGTGGTTAGATTTGCACATAAATTAGACATCGTAAAATGTTGATACTATAATACCATATGAGTTTTTTTCTGCAACACATGTGCGTTGTATCATAAGGTCTGTCATTGAGTCAACTGGCGGCGTTTCGATTCCCCGGTTGTACGTGACAAGGAGTAGGGTCACCTGTCCAACCTTGTGGGTTTTCTCTGGGTCCTCCGGTTTCCTCCCACTGCTAAAGATCCCTACCCGCAATCAAATTATTGAAATAAAAATGAACTGTGTGTTACTCCAGAAATGACCTAGTTTGTGTCGAGTGGACGTTAAACCCCATTTCTCTCTCTCTCTCTGTTTTCTGCAAAATGATATCTGTATATTTGTAATTGATTTATATATTATATTGCTAATGTCAATTTATAGAAGGTAGGATTTAGTAAAGATACTTCTACAATGGAAGATATACCAGAAGATAAGGAAGTGGTATTAACACCAGTACAGCGAGAGGTAATGGCTGTCATGAAGGGAAATAATAAGACACAGAAGGTCAAAGGTAAAAGTTCAAAGCAGTCCGACACAGAAGAAGAATCGGACAATACAGAAGATACCGATAATTCAGTGAAAGTTTCTCCAGAAAAAAAGGTTTGTAATTTGTTGAAATTTTGCTGGGGCTGGCACAGTAGTTTTAGTTGCGGAGTGAAAAGAGAGACAGACAGAAATGAGGTTTAACGTCCACTTGACACAAACTAAGTCATTTCGGGAATAACATGTATTTCATTTCAATTTTATTTTAATAATTCGCTTGTGCGTAGGGGTCTTTAGCAGTGGGACGGACCCAGAGAAAACCCGCACGATTGGACAGGTGATCCTACTACTTGTCACATACATCCCGGGAATCGAAATCATGCCAGTTGACTCACTGACAGACCTTATGATACAATGCGCACGCGCTGACCATTAGGCCATCCAACCCCTCAGTTGCCGAGTGCAATTGATTTGTAATGAGCTCCTAAATTAGTGCAATTAGTTTAAACCAGTGATAGTCATTTGCATTTTTTGAACAACTGATTTTTCACAGCTAAATCCATGCTAAAATGTACACAAATTGATTAACATTCAAAAGTTGCATTATGTAAGATTTAAATTAAGAACGGGTCGTTCTTGCTATAAACGTCATTTGTTTGGGTAGTTGAAGGGACCATTCTGTAAAAGAGTCATTCTTTTTTGCTTTCAGAAAAAAGGAAAATCAAAGGCGGCTGATAAAAAGTCAGAGGAAAGTCAACAAAAATTAACCCCTGCTGCTCGAATGGTGTTGGCTAAAATGAAAAGTGCTCAACAAAAAGAGGAGGAAATGGCTAAAAAATCTGTTAAAAAGAAAACGCGACGTGATTAAGTGCAGGACTCTGATGATGTGGAAAGTGAGATTCCAGAAACGCCTACCAGACGATCTAGGAGGCACTGAAATCAAACATTAACAGGAGAAAAATTGACGATCTAGGAGGCACTGAAATCAAACAATAACAGGAGAAAAATTATATTAAACAAATTCGAAACCCGTGACATGAGAAAGGAAATAAAAAAATTACAGAATATTTTGAATGAAACTGTATAAATTTAAATAGTGGATTTTTGAAAAAAAATAATGTATGGACTGGGGATGCACAAGGGAAAATGGTGGCTGGCAAAGGACATGTAGTAATTTGGCAGATGATGGGTAGGGGATATCCACACTGCTGTATCCATCTCCATTTTAAAATAAAACCAACTTCACTTCTACAAATTTCAAACCCTGATTCACTTAAATTGTAATTATTCCAAAGTTCATTGACTATGTATAATATTAATTATTTTTCTATGGAATTGGATGAAGTGAGTGGTTTTGGTGCATTTTATATACTGGAATTAAGATACGAAAATACCGATTTTATCTACACGACAATGCTGAATAATATTTAAATTTCCTTGGTATAACTTTCTTTTCTGAAACGTTAAAATATATATATTGTTGTATAAATAAATTTATTTTATCTTGCTGAAATATATGTGATTTATTTATTATTTCTCATTTAATGTGGATGTATATAGTTGTCACCTGCATCCGTTATCTGTAGCTAGGGCTGCTGACAGTTTCTTGTGAAAACTCCACAGGTCAGAGTTCTCCTCTCCTCTCCCCTCCCCTCCTCCTTTACCACACTAGGATAGTTCTAAAATTCGTTTTACTTGTCTTTACTACACTTTTGAAACTATTTTGTTCAATCTGTCTGGAGTTGATCAACAAGTTATAAGAAGGAGCGCTATCCAACCTCATGACTTTTCTCCGGGTCCTCCAGTTTCCTTCCTCTGCTAAAAAAAAACCCCTACGTGCAAGCAAATTATTGAATTAAAATTGAATCATATGTTAGTCCTGAAATGACATAGTTTATGTCGAGTGGGCGTTAAACTCCCCTCTCCCCAAAACTTGGTATTCTACCTGTATATCATATTGTTGAAAATAACACTGACACAAACTTTTAATAAACCACTAAAACAACATTTTCAAAATATTTTCATTTAACATGACATTTTGTCAAATATCATTAACCATAAATACAACAAAATCTACAGTGGTTTCGTTGTTTAACAAAAATCCTTTAACTCATTAATTGGGTAGATATTTAAATATTTTATGTCAGTATAAAATTCTATCTAATTCTTTCTATAGTATCACATTTACACACACCTCTGAATAATAATTAAATATACATTGAACAGCTATAATTTAACTCTTTAATACTTCCTACGAGAATTATATCACTGCTACGATGTCCATATTTGATGTGTGTTGGCTAAGACATCTTGTGGACTGTTTTTATGCATCATAAATAAACCTTGAACTTGGGCAATGCTGACATTTTTCCCATGGCTTTTAACTTTCTGGGCAAATTCCTGTGATGTTGCTTCTGTTTGATCAGGATAAAATCTTTGAAACATCTGTTGTAGCTGGTATTCTGTGGCATAATCTATCAGTTCTTTAACATCTACTCTACCTGGTCGAATTAAAGCAGGATCTAATCTACAAAATAAAATATAATTTTAAGTTGAATGTATTATTTTTGTATTCAATGTCTACTCAATAGAACATTATGTACCTGTATTCCAGTTCATACCACTTAAAATGTTCAAGAGGGAGAAATTAGGATTCAGCATTACATTATGCAGAGAGAGAAAAAAATAGGACTAAACATCAACTCAACATAAACTATGTCATTTTGGGACTAACATATGGTTCAATTTTATGTCATTAATTCGCTTGCGCGTAGAGGTCTTTAGCAGTGGGAGGAACCGGAGAAAAGCCACAAGGTTGAACAGGCGACCCTACTCCTCGTCTCGTACCAGTGGGGAATCAAAATCCGTCCTCGTTAACCATACAGCCACCCCAGTTACATTAAGTCCCTGAGTTTCAGTCCATACGACTTCAAGAGAGAGAAATTAGGATTCAGCTTTACATTATGTCCCTGTATCTCAGTGTACGAGAGAGAGAGAGAAATTAGGATTTGGTGTTACATTATGTCCCTGTGTTCCAGTTCATACCACTTCAGTGTTCAAGAGAGAGAAATTAGGATTCAGCGTTCACTCAACTCAAATCAGATTATTTTGGGAATAACATGGTGCATCTTTTGCTCAATAATTGCTTGCGTCTAGGGGTGTCAAGCAGTGGGAGGACTAGGCCTACTATTCTTCACGCATTAGTCTTGGTTTGAAACCACGACACTGGACCTAATGACAGACCTTATCATCTAAAGTGCCTGCTAAAACTTGTGTTAATCAGTACAATACAAGGTTTTTCAAAATTCTAAAGAATAAGAGAAAATTTATTTCATGCATTCTATTGTGAGTACTCTGTCATAATTCATTCCCCACAAAGAGAATTTTAATGCTCACTATTGAGAGTGGTCTTATTATATAAACTACAACCTACCTGTCTAAATAATTAGTTGTCATAAAAATAATTCTAGCTTCTGCAGAGGCTACACCATCCAAAGCATTTAATAAACCACTGAATGTTAGTCGTCCCATACCTTGATAAGCTATAGGATCTATACAAAGTAAAATCATTACTAATCAGCATATGTATAGATAAAATAAATAAATAAATAAAATAAACTTTTACCTGGTGTCAAGATGATATCAAGGGACATAACTCTATTTAATAATTAAACTATTTTATTAGCCAACATCTCATAAACTGCAATCTGTTATATGAGAAACTGATCTAATATCAAGAATATGACACAGTGATAAATCCACAACTACATTAAGAGTCTGTATTCTAATCATACTAAACACACTGGACATTCTGTAATAAAATTCTAAGCAAGTCGGGGTCTAACGTCCACTTGACACAGACTAGATCATTTTGGGACAAAAATATGATTCAATTTTATTTCAGTAATTTACTTGTGCGTAGGGGTCTTTAGCAGTGGGAGGAAACCAAAGGACCCAAAGAAAACCCACAAGGTTGGACAGAAGATCCTACTCCTTGTCACGTACAAGCGGGGAATTGAAACCACACAACATGAATCAATGACAGACCTTATGGTTTCACGTGCACACGTTGAACTACTAGACCACCCAACACTTCTCAAGTTGGGATAAACAATTTTGAGATGAAATATTAAAGTTGCTAATCGTCAATTACATTTTTGGGCACTGTCTTATTTCTCAAAGCTTAATCCACGCTAAAATAAACTAAAATAGGTTAAGCCTATCAAAAATTTTAATTAACAAACAAAAAAATATCAACAGTAGGCTCTAACATTCTCCTGGCTTTGATTCATTCAGTATTAAAAGAGAACCATCAAAATTGTTTTGAGGTGGCACTGGCTTGTTTATATTGTATTTAAAATCTCCTCAAATGACAATCAGCACCTTTAAATTGTCTGCATTACAGTAAATTGTTACATAGAGAGAGAGAGAGAGAGAGAGAGAGAGAAATGGGGTTTAACGTCCACTCAACACAAACTAGGTCATTTTGGGACTAACATATGATTTAATTTTATTTCAATAATTCACTTGTGAGTAGGGGTCTTTATCAGTGGGAGGAAACGGGAGGACCCATAGAAAACCCACAAGGTTAGACAGGCGACCCTACTCCTTGTCATGTACATGTACAACCAGGGATACAAATTGTTACATACTTAACATATTAACTTTCAATAGAACTATAACTTACTTTCTTTCTCAAGATCTCGACTAACAAAGGCAGCATCAACATCTTCTAATAAAATAATACTTTGTTCTGGTGCTTCTGTTATTAGATAATTTAATCTATCATCTGATAATCCTCCCTTGCTTAAATTTAACAGACAGATACTGTAGTCTAGAGCACCTGTAATAAACAAATAGTGTAATCTAGACTACCTGTAATAAACAGACAAATACTGTAGTCTAGAGCACCTATAATATATAGACAAATACAGTAGTCTAGACTACCTGTAATAAACAGACAAATACTGTAGTCTAGACTACCTGTAATAAACAGACAAATACTGTAGTCTAGACTACCTGTAATAAACAGATAAATACTGTAGTCTAGACTTCCTGTAATAAACAGATAAATACTGCAGTCTAGACTACCTGTAATAAACAGACAAATACAGTAGTCTAGACTACCTGTAATAAACAGATAAATACAGTAGTCTAGACTACCTGTAATAAACAGACAATACAGTAGTCTAGAGCACCTATAATAAACAGACAAATAACTGTAGTCTAGAATACCTGTAATAAATAGACAAATAACTGTAGTCTAGAGCACCTGTAAGAAACAGATACAAACTGTAGTCTAGAGCACCTGTAATAAACAGAATATCGGGAATATACTATAGCATTGGCAGACTGCCTGTATTTCAAAACAATGTAACATCTATTCAAGGATCCAGCATAACCCACATACCCCTTATACAACTTTGGGCAAAGTGAAACCACTCAATAGAACCCTTGCATTCAAAGGCCAACATTTTGTCTAAACAGCAGAGTTTATTTACTGGCTATCAAGCATCATCCTTCTTCATTAGCCCGGCTGGTGTAGAAACACGGACATTCAATTTCATTTCATTAAGCATCATATATGTCACTAGTATCTGGTTTGGAAGATTGTATTGTAAACAAGGCGAAGCCATGGTGGCTAAGTGGGTAAGATGCTGGCTCGCTAGTCTGGAGGTCGCGGGTTCGATCCTAGGAATGACCAAGAAAGTTCATTCTCATTTTCCGGTGTGGTTTCCCCTTGTCAGTGGTGCAGGACTAAGGGCCTGACAAGGACAGCTGTCTAATCATTCGGATGGGATGAAAAACCGAGGTTCCGTGTATACATTGGCATTCACGTAACAAGATCTCTAGGCACTTAGAATTCGATATAAGAGTAGGCCACAGTGCCACTGTCCAGACAAATTTGGCTCATAGCACACTGTATGGCGTATGCCCGTCTTCATTAGCCCAGTCGGAGCAGAACAGTAGGACATTAAACCCCATTTCATTTCATTTTGCAAACAGGGGAGTTCTGAAATTTAACATACTGACTGAAAAGTAATTTTAATGATGACAAATTCTAGTTTAATTTACCTGCCAAAGCCTTGATGTAACTACTTTTACCACAACCAGGAGGACCATGTAATAAATAACCCCTCCTATAGGGTATTCCCCTCTCAATATACCACTGTTGATTAGCAATAAACTCTTGGACATCTGTTAAAATAGCGTCTGCTTTTCCTTGGTCAAGAATAACGGAGCTGATTGGTCGTTTTCTTCTCGGAAGACCAGAAGGTCTCCAATCAGCACCCACCGTTGTATACATAACAGTTTTTCCTTCTTCTCTTTGTAACGCTATAATTCTTGCTTGATCCAGGAGGTCAAAGAATAATTGTCTGTTTCGACTAATGGCAGTCAAGGTTATCGTTTCCCACGGAGTACCCGACTGTAGATCTACCATTTGTTTTTCACGACTTCTTTCCACGCGAATCCACGTGTTTCTATAACGGAAAAAATGGCTGCCAGGACTTGGCACAAAGTCAAAATTGGTATTTATTTTACCCGTTTCAGACTGATGGAATGACGTTTGCACACTCAAATGTTTTGTCCGCGTTCCGTGAAGAGATATCCAGTTTAATAACCAATTATAACTCTTGTCTATTTTCGGAACTTCCAACGTTATCATACAATGTCTTCGAAACATGATCATTCCATACTGACTCCCTTGTTTCATGAACTTTGCTGCAAAGCCAATTCCAACCAATCCAAATCCAGCACCAAAATATGGATTGTCGTTAAATAAAGATCCGATAAAATCGGTAATAGGCATCTTGCTTTATCTGTGTTCCAATCCAACTACTTCATAATGAATGGAACCTGAAATCATAAATGAAAACATTTTTACTAATTGTACAAAATTATTTTCTTATTATATTCTATCCACATGGAGCTCTGCAACAATGGTTAAATCTAAATATTAAGGCCACCTCCAGAATTTGTAAAGGTCACAAGATGTGGGCCTGTTTACATCTTATGACCTTGACGAAATCTGCAGGTGGCCTTAATATTTAGATCTGACCACCGTGCCATTATCTAAGGGCTGGGTAGTTTCAGAATATGTCTACACACCAATTATCCAGTCCTAGATATTAATGAGAAATAACCCCTCCCTTTAACCTGCATGATGTCCGAGTTTAGAATCAAAAGATGTTAAAAATGTTTGTAGCAAGTTCTCTTTCAAAACTATTCAATCAAAACCCTTCCATCATTTAATTAACAATAGTGCATAAAGTGTAATTTAAGGGAAATATTACCAAGCAGTGGCACTATGACCTGCTCTAATTTTGATTTACGACTGTCTCTTTTTTGGTAGTGTAGTAATTATCAAAACACCTTATCTAGGATATGTTTAGTTTTCTTTCTTCCTTTAACTTAAATGTCTATTTAGTTCATACTATATTTTATGTTTCTTTTGTATATTTATTTCTATTTTGATTCTATGTTCTGTCTGTCTTGTTTGCATATTTTCAGTGTTTTTTTGGTTTTGTTTGGTTTGGATTTATCAATAAACTGTTTGAAAACTACTGCTGCATGTAAACTTGTACTTCCTCGATTACCTGAAGACAACTGAACGTGGAAGCTCCGTCTACATACTTGATAATAAGGTGAATTAATCAGGATTATATGATTACTGGTTGACTGGCTAGTAATTCATATGGACCAAAAACTAAGGTCAACGTTGCCACATACTCCTCACAGTTTTTCATTTGATTAGACCAAATCTCAGCCCATTCAATTTCAAGTCAAACACTGCTGACTGACTAATAATTCCTGTTCCAAATTATGACTGGTTAACAGTCAGGTTAACAACAACCAGTCTAGATAGTCCTCCTCCATGCCATTTGACAAAGTAAATAAAGTTAAGATAGTTTTAGTTTCAAAATGAGAGAAATATTCTCACGACCTGATGACTTCGTTCCTTTCCCGATTTTGGTACCGATTTGCAATTTGTAAACAAAAGCACGTGCCGTGGGGTGCCTTATACCGGTTACATTAAAAATATTATTGTTTCTTATTGCTTACATTCACAGTTCACACGAATGGCTGATTGCCATGAGCTAATAAAAGTTATACTTGTGTCAATAAATTGTAATTCTGACGTGAAGTCAATAACTGATCAAAACTGTATTCATATTCACCTCCGATTTGACATTTATCTTACGCAAACGCTTCAACTTGAACTTTGACCTGTTGGTATCGTCCACATTATGGAATAGCCGAATAAAGCTAACGAAACGAAATTGTATCAATGGACATACCTTTTATACATTCCAATAATTTCCGATTTGATTAAAAGGTTAGGGCAAAATATCTATGTTAAAATTATTTGGTTAGTGTGGTTCAATAGTTTTTATTTTCCAACACTGTGTTCGGTAAAATATAAAATCTTTAACCCCCGTATCCGAGCTTGTTATGAAACCATAGATCGTATTTACAGTTCTATGATGAAACGATCATAAATGATAAAACTCAATCTGGTAGATATTAATACGAGTTCGTCGCATTTTGTTAATTATTCGACGGTTTGTCGGATTTTTTCCCTCCCAAGACAAAAAAGTATGGAAGCGTATAGGGGTAAGGCTCGAGATCCTTTGATGCTGTGATACTTTCTCGAGATCCCCTAATAATTTTCTCGAGATTCTGCCATCCTCATCGTCAATCTGTTTCACAGAGATCTTCTAATATATCTGTAACAGATGACTGTTTCGACACGTGACGTCACATCAAGCGGCGTCAATCATTGGCTAAATAGCGCGTGCATTGTTTACATAAGACGTTACTGATTCGGGCTAAATGGTGAATTTTACTTATTTTAATACCCATTTACACTAAATAGGAAATGATTTTTACCTACAAACAATTCAAACGTCTTTATTTATTTTTCTAATAAATGAAAAAAATGTTTTAGAATTTAATTTGACGGAAGAAAAAAGTTAATATTTGGGACTCATTAAGTAAAGTCGCATCGATGTTATCCTTATCAGTGATTGTAGCGGCCTAGCGAAAATTCACTGCTGATCAGTGTGCCTCATCGTATGCCCCCACCCGCCCGCCATAAAGTATTCGAACATTTGCACACGGGCCAGTCCGGGCCCGATGACATGGGTTCCCGATTTTTGTTGTCAAGCGAGCTTCTTGAGTGAGAAACAGGGCCCGACGGAAATATTGGACAATTAACAAGACCGCTACCTGTCAACCAGAAATAATATTTCGGGTTTTGTGTTATGGAAACATTTCTGATATCAACTTCCCGCTGCCAACCCACCCAACCTGGAATCGTTGATATCAATTTTTATTTTCTGACCGAAGCCCCTTGGGGCCCCCTACCTAATAATTTCAAAACTCATCGAAAAAGTCCACTATGTTTCATAATCTTTGGGAAATGGGTCTTCATTTCTACAAAATTTAAAAAAAAAACAAAAAAAAAAACAAATTTTGTCACCAAATCATCGGGCACCTTGGGGGCTTGGGCCCGAGGCGTTTGCATCTGATGTCCTCGCCATGATCCGTCACTGGGTGAACCCCGATTCTTTATGCTATAAATTATGAGATGTACCCTTCACTAATCCAGTGATTGTTCTAAGCTCATCAAGATTTTGCCTTTCAAGACCAGTACATGTACTTTCGTTTTAGCACAGTTATTACAGATTACGTCCCCGTAGTCGGATAATGGTATTTTTTTTTCTATGGGGCCTACTGCTGAAACGATGCTTTAAACGTCTGAAACAATCTATACTTTTACGATGTTTCGTTCCGTTTTTTTTATATATTTTCGATGGACTACACTACATGAAGATCTGGCCGGTTGTACTGGAAGGTCGTGTCAGGGGGTCGTACGAGCGGCTTTTGACCCTGTGAGCATGGCGTCAGACATTGATTAATCAATCAGCGTTGACGTTTCTAGTGGTTTACCCACAGTTCCGTGCATCAAAAGCCAAGAACTCGCTGTAACAGACCGTTACATTGGATAATCCGTCACTTCAACCAGAACGCACGTTATATAACCACTCTTCCAGACCCTAGTCTAGTAAAGGAAAGTAAAACGAAATATAAAACTATAAAAAACGAAGTGAAATAGGTTCTGTGTTTTAGTCAAATTGATACTTTTACTAATTTTAATAACGGTACAATTAATACTGAGCGCCATGGAAAACGCATCAAGTAGTTTTTCGTATAACAAAATGATCCTGTAAACATATCTTATTTATTTTGCTTCTTATTGTGAACAATATTCAAATGGGAACAGATCAATAACAACACATTTGTACACTTATGGATGTTTAATCTGTAATCAACGGTACAAAGTCAGAGGGGTCAAAACCAAAAGTACGACACAGATGTCAGTAGCGCGTGTGTCCTCCACGGGCTCTTACGCACGCTGTGCAGCGACGTCGCATGGAATTTACCAATGTTTGAAAGAAGGCCTGCTGCAAATTGTTCTATTTTTGGACAAGAGCAGCTCATAAAGCAGCAATGGTGTGCATCTGTGGTCTCCGATACAGACGGCGTCCAATCTCATCCCAGACATGTTCTATCGGTGCCATGTCCGGAGACATGGCTGGCCAATCCAAGAGATTGATCTTGTTAGCAGCCAGGTAGTCCATACTAACACGGGCGGTATGCGGGCGTGCATTATCCTGTTGGATGTGCTGAAGTTGTGGGTCCGCTCGAAACATCGGAACAACAAGTGGTTGCAAGACATCATCACTGTCACAATTGGTATGTTAATTTGCTATGTATAATTGTGACATGGTTTATTTCTGTGGTTTAGGGTACATAATTAATTTGGTACATGGCTAAAGGGAATGTTTATTTCTTTTAGAGACATTTATTAAGGGTTGTACAGGTTTTGGTTAATAAAGTTTAATTACAGTTTTTACAGAATGAGTGTTGGTATGTTTTAGCAAGTTAGGTAATGAGGGTGTAAAGTAATGAATGGGTCTGGATTGTGATGCATGTGTATGTGGTGGATAGTTTTGATTGGATGTTTGGGTGACTAAAAGTTTCTTGGTGTAGAAATTAGAAAAGTTTGTCAGAGAGGTTTAAAATTAGTTACAGGATAGACATGGCTGTTTTCTCTACTTAGATCAGAGAGATTTTAAAGGACCAGACATGACTGTTTTTCATTATCTACAGTAACACCAATGACTGGCTTTAGATGCTTAGCACCTGGTAATTAAACACGATGTATTTAAATGTGAATCCGTTCCTTGATGAAATAACATTTAACGGGCAATGTCTAGGTGACCGATATAAATAATATGTCAAAACAGGGGTAACCTTGTTAATCATTTTGTCGTTTAATCTTGGTGAACTTTGTCAATCATACGCCTTTGTAGTCTTGGTGAAATATATTTCAATCTTGGTGAAATTTTAATAATAATAATAATAATAATACTTTATTCAGTGATACAAGGTCATAGACCCATAGTACATAGAATATAACATACATATATATATATATATGTCTATAATAAATATTATTATTCTGTTATTGAGTATATACATGTATATATCAATAGGTAATAACAAGATGGGGTGTCATTGGAGTTAATAACGAATAACAACTATACTTGTCTAGAACACAACGCCTCCTCTATATACAGTGCTATAGATATCAATAATGATCTATCTCTAACAGTGCATAACTTATATAGAAGATTTACATCATAATAGTCTCTAATGTAGTCTGGTGGAAGGTATTTAACTCTTAAATCGGTCAGATTGTTACAAGTAAACATAAAATGGTATAAGTTTTCATTCCCTTCATTACATAAAGGACATATTTGGTTCTTAAGAATACCTCTTTTAAATAAATTTGCTGAGAGTGGTAACAGGTTTAAGCGTAATCGTGTGATATTACGCCTCAGCTTTATTCCCACATTACAAGATAAATAGTGTTCTTGTCTAAGCTCAAGTTTAAAATTACTGTATTCAGTAAGACTATCATGTGATATTAACTTAGCTGACCAATCTTGAATATCAATATCCTTAAGCCTTAATTTCACTGATTGTATAAATTTTCTTACATTACCAATACTTTCAGAGTAGAATATAAAACTAAAACCAAGTGAGAATAACATCATTCTCAAATGAGTAACCCATGTTTCCCGGCCCAAATTAAAATCTAGATTTTTTAACATTAGATACACCTGTTTTGGATAACGGTCTATATTCATATTGATTAAAGTGCACCAATATTTTATACAAGACAGTATGTAATAAACACTGAGGCTATGTCGTCCACATTCTCCTACTGCTCCAGCACTGGTGGAAGATTTATGTATACCTAACACAAACTTACAAAAGTTCGTATGAACACGTTCTATATCAGGTCTGTACTGAAATCCCCAAAGCTGTGAACCGTACAGTAGAACCGGCTTGATTATAGCATCAAATATTTTAAAGGATACCTTCGGATGAGGGTGACCTGTTTTTGCAATGAAAGACTTAATAGGAATAAGAGCTTTTTCGGCTTTAAGTGACAAGTTCAGAAGACATTTACCCCAGTGCAACCTGGAAGAAAACAAGAGACCTAAGTAACTGTAATATGTGACACAATCAACCGTTGTCCCTTTAAAGTACCACTTTTCACTTTTCTTTATTATGCCCCCATTTCGGAAAACAATAATTTTTGTTTTATCAATATTTACAGACAGTTCAGAGTACTCACAAAAATTTTCTAAGACATTGATTTTCTTTTGAAGGTCACCAATTGTGTCAGCCACAAGACTGAGGTCGTCTGCATATAAAAGAGCTAGAATATCATTCACGTCACTAACAGTGAATATTCCTCGTACATTACTTTTCTCAAGCAATTCTAATAACTGATTTATATAGAAGCAGAATAGGATTGGGCTTAAAACAACCCCTGCCTGACACCAGTATGACAGTCAAAAGAAGGTGTGGTTTCACTGCCTAACTTGACA